ATAAAACGCTGCGAAAGTGCAGTGAGACCCGTAAGGTTTCCGCAGCATTTTGACCTGCCAGCATTTCCACAGGATTTTGAGAGCGCATGCATTCGTGATTGCGAAATAGCGAACGCAACATCAACAGCGCATGGCGCATTCTTTTCTTTCATACTGTTTCGCTTCTGTTCCTCCTCTTTTCTTTCTCTTTTTTCTTTCTTTCTTCAATGTTGGAGTAAGTAAACCTATACTCATCCATATTTTAAGTATTCCTTTAGGCATCGGTGCAGGTGTGTACAACCATCACCAAGCTGCTGGAGTGCTGGAAAAGGACTCAAGGAGGGACTTCATTTGACAACGCCCTTGTTCAGGTATGTCGAACTTCTTTGCTTTATGTGCTTTGATTGAAATAATAACGCAAGTAAACTGTAGAAAATATGCACTGGGTCTAAATAAAGCAGAAGTAATTAGGTAGAAATATATCAAAACAAGGGGGGGGGGAGAATAATGGGTCGCCGAAGTTTGCAAAGTGATCTACAAGCTTTTGGTGAATATTGAAATATTTTCAAAAATTTCCAGATTCAAAGTATTAGTTTTTGATAAGCAATTTTGATTTTCGTAGAAAATTGGATCAACTCGGTATTACGAAAATTAAAATTATTCTCGATTGGCACGAATTTCTCTCAACTAAAAAGAGAAGATCACCAAACCCATGTTCACATGACTTTCCCGTCTTTTCTGTGACGTTTTTGGGGTTCTTGAGCATCAAAATTGCAAAACTGAAGTAATTCTCTTTATTTGCTTCTAAGTCTCATTCTTTTTTGTTTTTGGAAAAGACACTATAGTAAAGAACATAATTTTTTTCTATCGAATAATACTTCCAGTTTTGGTGTCCATGCTTGAAAAATGCCAATCTTGAGTAATTTTTTTAATTGCTCCTAACTCGCGAACTTTCTTAAGCCAATTCATGGCAGAGATACACTTGTAAAGAAAATGATTTCCTCTCTTAGATGAATATGAACTCAAAGAGATCCATCGAGTCGAAAGGAAATAATGATTTTTTTGAAAAACTGGCGAACGTACTTTTGGTCCCTCCTAATAGTTGTGGACAATTTTCGAAGGAGCTGTGCTAAAAGAAATCGAGGTGGTACGAAAATTATACCGCAAAAGTTCAACCATTCCTGTCATTTCTTCTGCTGGAAGTGACCACACACCCACGAATCCAAAAGTTTCAATCCCTCCCTTCCCTCCCTTAAATAAATTTCTCGCGCCGCCATTGCTTTTCGTGTGTCTATTCTTTTCTACTCCTTTATGCTTTTGATTTTCAAATCTTTTCCCGCTCACAATACCGCACACATCACAAAATAATAATTTTTGGTTAGAGATAAAAATTCGAAACTTACGATTTGATATAATGACTCGAGAAATTCGAAATTGAAATTTTTAAATAATAGTGTATGATCAAATAAAGTAGAAATAATGTGGTAGAAATATATCAAAAGAAAGGAGCGGGGCATAATGGGTCTCAAGAGTATTCATAGTAGTCTGCGACTGTAGATGAAAGGTCAAAGCTCTTCTAAACTCTAACTTCTGTAGTTTGTCTAGGCAGTTTCCGAAGGTGTGGCTCACTCCACGCACTTTTTTGCTGAAAAAAATCGAGGGCGTACAAAAACTGGAACCACGAAAAGTCAACCATTCCCAAACTTCCCTTTGTTCGGTTGCTCATGCCTACAAACCCAAATAGTTTTTTTTGTCTCCCCCCCCCCCCTTGAAAAAGTTTCTTGCACCGTCACTGCTTTAATGTATCTATCCTTCTCCACTCCTCTGTTTTTGCTGTTTCAAATGTTTTTCCCTCTCCCAAATACTTCCTACATCTTCAACGGATCTGCACATTTATTTTCTAATTCATTTTCACTAGTACCTACCTGAAATACCTTTCAATGAAAGCAAGCTCCAGAGAGAAGCCGGACAAGAAATTTACTCCATTCTCAAAATTTCTGCGTTTGGTCGCAAAACTGAAACTCGCAACGGAAATCGGAGCATTATAGGTTTTATAGCCTGCTGTTTCTGACTGTGCCAAGTTTGCGCTGATTGAACTTCTTTATGAAAAGTTATGATTTTCGAAGCAAATGCCAAAAAATCATATTTACTCTTTTTTACGGCTTCCTCAAAAATTATAACCCTGTTAAGAGACGTTCAATCAGCGCAATCTTTGTACACTCAAAAAGAGTAGGTAATTATAGCTATGATACCGATTGCTCCAATTTTCTGCAAGCAGATTTTTGCGATCAAACATGGGGAATATTGAAATAGAGTAATTTTCTTCACCGACTCCGATCTCTGGAGCTATCAAAAAGTGCCTCACGTACCAATAGAAAGCATGTCTTCTTTCAAAAAAACATGTGCAGATAGGATTTGAAGGAAGAAAGATTCGAATTTTTGAAAAGGATGGGGACGAGCTTTTGCTTCATTAGTATTATTTTCCAAGCAATAATTTATGAATCAACAATAATTTATAATAACTTTTACTAACACATACCTGCCTTAGAGTCTGACACATACCTGTTTTGTGTGGAAAATGCTGGAATATCAGATTGAAACAAAAGTTCTGTTGCTCCAAATTTAAAAATTCCAAAAAATTCAGGTCGAAGTAAAGCTTGATTTTTGCAGAAAACTCTTGTGATTTTCAAATCTGTCGCAGAGCTTCTCTTGTTGAGATTTCGAAATTTCCCAAAATTCCAAATAAATCGTCCAAATTCGCTCCTGTTTCTTGGCGAAGAAGTTGCAAATTGGAATGCGGCAAGGCACAATTTACATCAAGAAGTTTCAATTACTCATTACAGGAAGGAAGGAAGGCCGATGCCGGCTTCAGTCGCGCGGACAAGGTCAAATGACACCCGATAAGGGACCATCTTCCCTTTGAAGCGCATATTATCCTTTGTGAATGAGATTGTTATTTTTTATCTTATTCTTCCATTATTTTTTACTCTTTCATCAGTATAACATTGCTTTTTAATTCCTAATATCTGCCGATTTTTTCCAACCTTATTCGGTTCTGCGTATATACTCAAATACTTCTGTGATTTTATGTACATATATTTATTTATATGATCTGTTAATTTGCAATTATCAACTTCGGCCTGTTGTGATTCTATGGTATCTGCATAAAACAATACACTGTGCCATTTGCTTTCTCAATAAAACTATCTCGCTGTCTACCTCTCTTATCATCTAGAGAGTCTAGAGGAATTTCCACATCAAAGGAATAATGCCTTAGTAAAAAGGGAAAACCTAGTATTGGAAAAGAAATCTAGTACCAAAAAGGAGGCTTGATATGGAAGAAACGGACCACGAATTAAAAGTGAAAACCGCAAAGTGCTGCGGAACTCCAAACAAAGTGCTGCGGAAACCCTGTACCCAGAGATTGCAGCGTTTCCGCAGCGCTTTCGCAGGATTTCCGCCGGGTTACCTGCGGAAATCCTGCGAAAGCGCTGCGGAAGTTCCGGCCAGTTGTCTGAGAAGATCAAACATGACCACCAAATCAATCCAATGACAGTCAACACCCTCATATCCTTCCCCCCTCACGTACTGTACCTCCTTTGAATGCTTCCACTTCCAAAACCGTGATACCGTCATTCACCCCTTACAGCATGAGACACATCCAGCCCTTCTAGTTGTTGACTGTGCATTGTTGCTTAGAATATTAACTCAAGTTCAACTGAGAGACAAACATCCTCGAACCAATAGGTTTAGCCGGTGTTTCGGGCAAACTCACAGATTCGTTAGCAAATTCTGGCATTTGCACAATACAGAGTGGAACGAAAGATATACGAGGCAGCGAAGCTGCCGAGTAAGCCAAACCTCCGCGTAGCGGCAGAAAGCGGCTGGTATCAACATATTCAAAGAACTTCGCATCAAAGTTTGCCTTATTGTATATTTCAAAAGGAGTAGCATCTGCTGCAGTCATTCAGTTGAGAATCAGCAGGACAACAACTTGACTTGATGAACCGAATAATCGGAAAATGAATATTTATAATACATTTTTACACTGCTGTTGCTATGAAAATCTGCACCTCGACTTTCTTTAGTGGCACATACTTGACATTTTACGCCGACATTGTGCTGCGAAAAAAGAAACACAAAGGTTCTTTTTCTAGTGAAAAGCTTTATGCAGAAGTGAAATTATGGAGAAGTATTTCTACTTATCAAAAATTCGATGTTGGAAGCACGTTGCTCGTTCAATCAATGCTCGACCGCAGAAGATTACATCGGCAACTGTTCTTGGCCAACAATCACAATCTTAATCACGTTACATTTTACATATCTTCCAGAAACTGTTGTAGTTGTGCTTATCTCAACTTGATTCCAATATTTTCAGAAGCATAATCACTTAGGCGCAAAAGATCACTAAAGAGCTTTCTCATGAAAAATTCAGCATAGCACGTGGAAGACCCGTGTTCTCAAAAGTCTCACCTTTATCTTATCGAATGGCGACCATTGATCAAAAATAAGACCGAAACCAACTTTGATAGACTAGCTCTTTGTCAAAAATGCTTCATTTCCTAGCATAAAGTGCTTTTCGATAAGATACATAATTTGTATAGTCGCTTTTGATGATTTTCCGAATTAAGATAACTCTTGTTATCCATCACGAAGTGTGAAAATTTTTCGTAAAGACTCAAATATTTTCGGAACAAGTTTGAAACTTGCTTTATTCTCGTCTTTGTGCTCGTTTTTATTTCTTATAATTGCAGCTTTGAACGAGAACCCAAAGCTATTTGACTGCTTTGGTGTATCTATTATTTTTGTGGACATGGGTCCTATGAGAAAAAAAAGAATGGTTTGGTCTTGCTGTGCCAAACAGGTTTCTATGCTGGCAATAATCCAGGTTTAGACAAAATGGGATTTAAAAACTAGTGAAAACAGTATTTTCTAGGGAATATCGCGACTCGCATAGAATAGATAGATTTGCTACAAAAAAGCATTGAAGTGTTTTGTAAGCTGCATTTGATTTCGATTTCAGTGCCTGTAATGCGGTTCATACCGCTCATTTTCGTTTTTGGCCTCACTTGGGCCGATGACGTACGAATGGACTGTCATCCGGAACCGGATGCAACACAACAGAACTGCGAAGCAAGAGATTGTATCTGGCAAGAACCACCTGATCAAGGGGTAAGAAAAAGTTTTGCAGCAATTTTTTCAAAAAAAGCGCAATCAGCGGATGATATGCAATCGTACCTTGTGTAGAAAGGAAATGCACTTTGGAGCCAGAAGTCTTGCTGCTTATATCAAAAGTCCAACTTTACATAAAAAGTCTATTTTTATAGAATTCATAAAAACCATTATTTGCGAAGGCGTTTCCGTTTTCCAGCACTCTATACCTTGGTGTTTCATGAAAAAAGGAATCGGCTATACGAATGTGTCAACTTCCGGTTCGGTATGTTCAATCACTTTCAGATATAATTATCGTCGCTGATAAGACTCGCGATTGCAGGTGATTACATTGCAAAAGAAAAGCGGGCCAAAAAATCCATGGGGTGAAGACATACAACAAATCTACATGACAACTAGTACTTTGGGAAAAACGCTCAACGTCAAAATCTATGCACCATCGAGGTGAGATGACCATGAAATATAGTTATTCTCTCATCAAGCATTCTCAAAACTCCGCTTTAACAGTTATCTTGTCGGATCAGATGATTATTTTTACAGATTTGATCCTCCGGTAGATCTTCCACGCGCTCCATCAGTTTCAGCAGACACGCTCCAGGTAATTTGCTTGTTTTCTTTGTCATGAATATAAGAATACCTTCAAAATTCAAAGCTATAAAATTCAGATGCTATTAAATATCAAAATATAAAATACTGAAAAAAACTGAAAATAAATAAAAATTCAGATACTATCAAAGTAACAATGTAAATACATCAAATTACAGCTCGCAACGCACAATATCAACGATGTGTTTGCTTTCACTGTGATTCGAAAATCAACTGGACGACGACTTTTTGATACGAGTTTAGGTATATTTGGCAGTTTTTGTTTTGATGCTCAATCATAATAAATCGCTATCTTAACAATTCCTTGAATTAGAAATAACAACCAGGGCTGGCCTTTAGCAACTTCTTCACGTGAATTTCAGGTGGACTAATTTTCTCTGACAAATTCCTTCAAATTGCCACCTATCTGCCCTCTGATGCAATGTACGGTTGGGGAGAGAACGTTCACTTGTCGCTGAAGGTTTTTTCGTTCTTTATATTTTTTGTTCAAATAAGTGAAGTTTTTCTAGCACGATTTCTCAACCTACACGACATGGGGTATGCTAGCAAGAGATGAACCTCCAAGTTCATATGGACTGGTAACTAAAAATCTATATGGTAAGTTGGGATACTGGGAACTGGCGTCTCGCAACATAGTATCCAAAAAACTACACCGAAATAATAAAATATCAATAATCATTTTAATAAATTTTAGAATCGCGCGAACGTTACTGAAAGTATAAACAAAAATAAGAAGGTAACTGCTAATACACTCTCCTCCTATAAGCTTGGGCTAAAACTGCCGCACCGTGTTCCGTGCGCGATTGTGGTCCTGCATGGAAACGTTATACGGTCTCCGAATCTGCCTGGTAATCAAATGCATTACTTTAGACGTCCAAATCTTTTTCTAGGTGTTCAACCTTTTTACATGGTCATGGAACCAGATGGTAATGCACATGGTGTACTCATTTTAAACAGCAATGCTCAGGTAAGAAGATATTTATGGTGACTTGTGCAACTGTGGACTTTAATTTATACCTTAAGTTGGAAGAGAACAAAATGCGGATGAAATTGAATTATCGCACTCAAATTTGCTTATATTTTATATTCAGGAAGTGACAACCGCTCCGGGACCAGCACTGATCTATCGTACAATCGGGGGTAATTTAGACCTGTACTTCTTCCCCGGTCCTACTCCAGAAGAAGTCACGCAGCAATATCTAGCCCTTATTGGCACTCCATTCCTACCAGCATACTGGGCCTTAGGATTTCAGGTGGGTGAATTAGTGAATTTTTGACCTCCTGTTGCAGTTTTCAGATTTCACGATACGGTTATCCGGATCTCAATGCTATGATGAGTATCATAGAAAGAAATGTCAAAGCAGGAATTCCTGTAGATACAGTAGTAGCCGATATTGACTACATGGACAGGTACAAAGATTTCACCACAGGTGATGTGAGTTGTTCTCGAAAATTCGTAGTGCTGTCAAAATTCTGAGCTCCTCAGAAATGGTCTGGATTGGGAAACTATTTGACGAAACTACACAGCCAAGGAATGCGATCAATTTTGATCTGGGATCCAGCAATCCAAGTGGACTACGAGTCTTTCCAAAGAGGATTGGCTGCGGTAAAGGGCTTGCTTTATTTTGCTGTAATTTCTCAAAAAGTCCTTTCTAGAATGCCCATTTCATCGAGTGGGAGAGACAAGACCAAGTGATGCGATCCATCCAGGTTTGAAAGATATTTCCTATAGAGAACTTTATAGAAATTCAATTTAGGATCTCTACCCGATGGCAAAGAACACGAAAATCATGCTTGGAGTAGTGTGGCCAGATCGTCATGTGGCGTTCCCTGATTTCTTTGATGTGTCCAACAACACTGTCAACTGGTGGATTGATGAGTTTGTTCGCTATCAGAAACAAGTGAGTTAAGATTTTAACGCTCAAAAATCTAATCTCAAATCGCTAAGAAGACAAAATAGCAATACAATTAAGTTGAAATTAGTGTACGTAGGCTATGTATCTGTGCAATATGTTCATTAGAAGACTGAAGTCGTCATTCACTTTCTTCGCGATCAGTCACAGTTATGGCAATGATTTCCGTTTATTTTGGTTTTTTTTTCTACATTAGTTAGATTTATTTCTCTGCAAGAAGATTTGGACCCCAGATGAGTCGAGTTTTTAGTTCATGGGATTAGACTCGATTTGATATGATGATGTATGATTTCGTCCACATTCCTCGTTCGTTCTGTATCACTAACTTCTCGTTTTGTTTTGTGGGCTGTCTAGTGGGGTGGTTATTTTTTGGGATAAAGTCTCCGAAATAAGTTAGTGCATATTGTAATCAACGGGTTCTATGGAAAACACTGGGGGCAGTGGAGGTTCAATTTTTCGGCGATGTATAATGGATGGAGGTGTGGGAGGGGGGGGGGGGGGGAAGGGCAAAAAATCGATCTTCAAGTGAAGGAGTGGTGATGACCTCGCTCTCCAAATTTTTTTTGTGTACTCAATAATTTTGGGCCTATAATCCCAGTATTTTGTCTAAAATGCTGGCTGCAGCCACGCTTCCAAAATTACAAAGCTTTGGATATTTAAGGATCTAAAAAATCATTAAAATCATTCAATCAAGTACGAGTAAGATTGAGTCACAATTTTATTTTTCATATAACTAACTTTCAATGTTTTACTCATTTTTAGCTCCCCCTCCCCCTCCCCGAATCGCTGCCGTCGGCGGTCTGCCACTGTTGAGCAGAACTACCAAAGAATTGGGAAGAAAACCCTGTAGAGCAAGGATCTCAAAAGAGTTTTTCAAAAAGAATTTTTTCTGTAGAAAATTTACTTCCTTACACTTTGCCATTCTACTGAGATAATGACTGATAAATTCAACATCGGAAACATCGGATGAAGGCTCCGCCTACTTGTAATTATGAAGGAACTTAAACAACTCTACAGAGTTTTTGTTGTGGAAACTATTCATTTCCATGTAATCATGACTAAATAATTAGCAATAAGCACAAGACTCTAACTGTAAATTGCATCAGGTGCCTTATGACGGCATCTGGATCGACATGAACGAGCCATCAAACTTCGGTACAAATGAGCCGCATCCATTCTATTATGATAGTCCCGACCATCCCGATGATGAACCCTTGAGGTGCCCTACAACTGAAGGAGGAAAGGATGCAGAGTGGGACATGCCACCGTACAAAACACACTCGGTCTACTATTTTGGACAGGTAGGACGAAAACTTCTACAGATGGAAGACCAAAACAAGCTTTGTAATATGCTTCTAGAATTCATATCTAGCGTCGAAAACTCTTTGCATGTTGGCTGTACAAGCAAATGGAACGCAAAGATTTTATAATATAAAGAATCTTTACGGCCTGAGTGAATCAATAGCTTCACAGCAAGCCCTACACAAAGCAACCGGGAAAAGAGGGGCTGTTGTGTCAAGGTGGCTAATTAGTTTGAGAATCCCCGATCAAATACCCTATATCAGATCTACCTTCCCATCAAGTGGAAAATATGCTGGACATTGGTTAGGTGACAACACCGCAACATGGGCAGATCTCCAGACATCCGTAATTGGAGCGCAAGAATTCAATATGTTTGGAATTCCGTAAGTTTCGCGAAGAGGTGCTTCAGCTCATGATCATTAGTGAAAATATTTTCAGTTATGTTGGATCGGACATCTGTGGATTCAACGGCGAATCAAACGAAGAGTTGTGTCTGAGATGGCAGCAGATGGGGGCTTTCCATTCTTTCATGAGGTGAGTTGAAATATTGGGACACCTTCCTCGGGGATTTCAAATTACAAAACTCAAGTAGAGGTCGGTGGCCGACCGAAGGAGGGCGGGTAGAGACGCATCGAGAAAAAGTTGCGAAATTTTCGAAAATTGCCTTTATCTTATATATAAAGCTGAATGTGTGTTTGTACATATGTATGTCTGTCTGTCTGTCTGTACGTATGTGCGGAATAGAAATTTTTATTTGTGAACCGATTTGGACCAAACTTGGCACACATACACTTCGGGGCAAGAAGCGTGTCATAGGCTACTTTTCGTTATCGATCTATATCGATTTTATCGATTTTTTGCAAAATTTGGCTACGGGGCTGGGAGTTGGCAAAGGGGGGTAATCGAGCATGCTGATTACAAATATGTTATTGACAGGGCCGGGCGGAGCAGGGTTTGCCAACTAGTCGGTTATAAGATTAAGATTGTGCAAGGAATTTTCTATATTTGTGAACAATTAGAGTATTTTTGAAATTTTTTGAGTCCAAATTAATGTAAAAACGTAAAACATTTTTTCGAAAATTTTTTGCAAGGACATACCGTGCTCGATACGAGCTGGCACTGGGATTTTTCAAAACAAAGTCCTCTTCAATCTTGAAAATGTCGTACGAAGGCCCTGACCCTAAATCCTAATCGTAATAAAAAGGCGATCAAAAAACGTTCCAATTTTTTTCTCTTTTTGTCGCCACAAAACGATATCCAGCTTGATCCGGTGCCAGCTGTGCCGAGCCCTGGGAACATAACTATACAGCCATTTTTCCAAGCCTATGGAATTATATTTGAAAGACATTTCTGAAGAGTTTTGGAACGCGTCTTTGGCTCCTCAATTCGAAATACATATTTGCTCCTCCCCCATGAAGAAAATTTCTCGGACCCCCACACAGAGGGATAACGAAGCAATGGAAGAGGAAGGAGGCCAACACTAATTCCTTCCCAAAATTCGTTCGCGGCAATCTACTTTTCAAGAAGAGTTAAAGTTTTTGATGTTATAGACGAATATTTTACTTCTCTAAACATTCTTACCAGTAGTTCAAGTTATACAAAAATGTTGTGGTTCCGATCCAAGATAATGCAGTTGCGAGTGTAGTGTTTGGGAATGCAAAAATCTTGAAATTTGCAAAAGGAGCGCAAGGCTGAACTCATTTCATCATGTGGTTCGCACTATTTCTAAAAACAGTAATTTTTAGAAATCATAACACCGAGGGTGCATCGCCCCAAGATCCAGCACGATGGCCATCCGTAACTGCTGCTGCTATAAAAGCCAACCTATTCCGATATAGCTATTTGCCATACTTGTTTAGGTAAGAATCATATCAAATACTAGCTCTTTCCTGCAAAAACCATAATTAATTGTTGGTAGAAAGTAAATCGGATTTTGACAGCCCAAAATGTATTGAGGAATAAGTAGTTCATTCTATTACAGCTTGCACTTCATTGCCTCCATGAACGGAGGAACAGTTGTACGTCCACTTTTTTATGAGTACCCCAAGGATCAGGAAACCTACAATCTGGGTCATCAGTTCCTATGGGGCAGTTCTATGCTGGTTGCTCCTGTTGTTTATCAGGTAATCAGATTCTCCATTCCATCGTGTGGGAGAATAATCTTATTTAGGGAGCTTCAACTGTAAGGGCATATTTACCGGAAGATGACTGGTATTCGTTATTTGACAGCAACTATGGCCAACCAATCGAACATGGATATCAGACTCTCAATGCACCCACCACTTCACTCATACCCGTGCTTGTGAGAGGTTAGCAACCCTTTTTTATTCTTTCCAGATTTGTTATAAATTTTAGGAGGGTCAATTTTACCGCGTCAAAAAGCCAATGTGACCACTGCCTACACGAGGAACAACGCCTTTGAGCTGCTTATTGCTCCAGGATCGAAATACAGTAAGTTTAGTCCTGATATATCAACAGATGGGAATTAAAATACTTATCCCCACTGTTGTGTGAAATGTGCAGTGATCATTAGGAAAGAGATTATAAATATGCCTACACTCCGCTGCCTCAACTGAGCAGCAAAATCTTAGCACGATTTTATACTATTGCATCATTAGATTTTTTGCTCCTTTGAACAATCATAATTCCTCACCCATGAACGCTCCGCAGATACGGAAAAGACAGATTTGGAATCGGCATTTTATATCTCTCCAAGATGATGTGCATCCCATCACAAAAGGCCACTTCGATCAACCACCCTCCCTTTCAGCATAAAAAAGCATTTTCCTTTGTGTGCCTAAGCAACAACGAAGAAGGAGGGTATTCTTCGCGTGTTGCGAATTCATATTTGGTCTTTCACCGGCTCTTCTGCCGATCAAAAATGTTAAGAAGCATCTAAAAGTGTCACAGAGCTATGTGTAGAGAACACCAATTATCAGCGGTTTTTTCAGATATTAAGGCTAAAAATTAATTTCGTTTTGTCATATAAGTCTATGTAAAAATTTAGCTTGTTTTTATTCAGCTAAATTTTTTTTTGAGGAGAGACAGTTTGAGGCTTTTACTACCAGAAAACAATTATTTAAAACTTTCGGTCGTCAATAAAGGGCAGGTTCATATCGAAATGGCGGATTTTCAAAATTAGAGCTCTCTAAATTTTTGAGTTTCGTTCTCATGCTGTGATGGATTTAGAAAGTATAGATGGACGGTTTTTTTATATACATACCAATTTCTTTTAATCGGCAGAGAACACAAAATGTGATTGCTATTTTGGATTTTTGCAGCTGAAAATACGAAATTTTCTTGAATCTGGCTCATTCTCCATCGTGAAGAAAAATTTCTACGCGAACAAGAATATCTTTTGATTCTCATTGAAATACTTTTTGGAGCATTGCCGGGCCATTGAAAAAATTTTCTGCAACATTTCCACAATCCGCGATTCAACCTGATAGCCTATCATACATTATTCTACCATTTAAGGAGCTATCGGCAGCGCTGAAGGATTCTTATATTGGGATGATGGAGAGAGCATCGTTGAATCATTTGACACTCATAATTATTTCAAGTGGCAGTTCAAGTATTCTTCGTCAAGTGAAAGTGCTACTCTCACCATTAAGACAGAACAACAAGCAGTAAGTTAAAGTTAAACTGACTGAGAACACAGCTTCAGGAATCTTTGCAGAAATCTTTGCCAGTTCCTACTCTCGATACTCTTGAAATTTTCGGCTACAGTTTCTATCCTGATTTCACCAGTTTCCAGCTGAATGGCAAGAAGGTAATTTTTGCAATGTTTTCTTCTGCATGAAATTAAGTAATACTGTGTTTTTAGGTAAACATCAACGTCCAAACATCGTCCTACAGTCCCCACACGCAAATACTCTACATCTCCACCAAGAATCTTATTGACATCTCAACTGGAACGAGTACAACATTAACTTGGAAGCATGCTGTAGCATATGAAAGTCGCCGGAAGGACATAGTACATGAAGAGTTATTTATCTGATATCATCTGCAAATTCTTTGATAAAAATTCCAAAACTTCCTCATCTCCATATGCTCTGTCAGTTATGACAACTAACTTCTAGTATTTATAACATCGTTAGAAAGTCACATAGAGTTTTCAGAAGAAAGAGATTTTTTTGTTTCGACCACATCTCCAAGTTGCTCTGCATTCTGATATAAACAGACAATTTTTCTAATTTTTTTTATGTATTAGGTTGTCAAGAAAATAATATCTTCTTTAATTTCTGCATATGCAGTTCTATACTGCAAGCCTAAATAAGTATAACTGTAGATTTAGCCCATTCCAGCGATAGTTTTTGAACATATCGAATTCGGAATTTTTCCTTTCAGTTTCTTTGCTAAAATTGACATTTATCGAATAATACCGCTCGGAATAGGCTGAAAACGTACAGTTATGCTTACCTAGGCTTGTAGTTTAGAACTATGTATGCAAAAAGGGCTCAGCATTGCTTTGAGAAAATCAAAGAAACTTTCATTTTCTCACTAGTCAAGGAAAAAATACAGCAGTCACACATATCAGTGGCGTACCCAGGATTTCGGCTCGGGGGGGGGGGGGCGACAAAGATTTTCTTCTAATGAAGATGCGTGGCGTCAGCCACGCACTCCTAAAATTTTTTTGATGTGTTTCCCAAAATTTTTCCGGGCCCCTGACCCCAGTAAAAACAAGTCCTCTGCACATTTTTATAACACATTTAAATAACTTCCAAAAATTTCGCGACCCATTCTCGCGTCCCCCCCCCCCCCGCCTCCCCCCCCCCCTCGGTACGCCACTGACACATATGGATATCAGATATCGGAAGTATCGACGTGAGCGAGTGGGAGATCCGTAGAAATTATTTGGACGAAGATCTGATTTTTTTCGATTTTTTGAGCATTTGGAAATCTTTAGATTTTGAGTTCGAACTCTCTGTGGATTGAGCTTGGCGCAAAATCATGAACGTGATCTTGTAGAGCTTGATTTGCTCTAGCGAACAGTACCCCTTACCTTTGTTGGGTTGAGTCTCTTTGCTTTGTTGAAGCAAGCAAATATAATAAAAACCGACATTATTTTCTTGACAACCTAATAGAACTTCGTCTATAATGCTGAGCTATTTATGCCTTAACTACCATCAGAAGTAATCTTCTGACTTTAGCTACGCACTCCGAGAAAATTTTCCGGATGTTACCCAAGACTTTTGCGGGCCCATAACCCATCAGGAAAAGTGTTGCATTGCGGCAGCCATGCCTTCCAAATAAATTTTTCACAAGGACGATTTGATTTTTCTAAAAACCCCAAATTGCGTTGATCATTTCCGATTAAAAACCAGGGCTCGGCGCAGGTGGCTTATAAGCAAGCTGTGTATCGTTTTTTGGTGTAAAAACCAAAGGGGATATCGTCTTTGTGGGTCTGCAATCAGGTTTTTTAGTGTCGATGTTTCGTTTCTTTAGTCGATTCGGATATTTCGAATAAGGGTCAAATAAAACTTCGTGAAATTTTGCGAAAATCAGGAGGAGGGAGGGGCTTCGTTTTTGCATTTTCGGGAAGCCACCTCGTGCCGAGCCCTGATAAAAAGTCGTTGCGCTTTTTTATAACTCACATGAGTAATTTTAAAAATTTCGCAACCTATTCTTGAGGGGCGAGGGAGTGTAAAGGTAGTGTGAATTCAAAGGTATAGTAGGAGGAACGGTGTGGGCATCGGGCCTTTCCATAATGTTAGAAACGAGAATTTAATATGGAGAAGGGGAGTTGAGGCAGTTTTATGGTGCTCCGAGGATAGGGTAGACCAGGACGTCTAAGAAGTAAGGTACATGCAGTGCTTCCTTTGCATAATGCTTTGACGTTTGAGGAGGAAGGGTTGACTTCTAGAAGACGATGATTAGCAGTGAAAAGTTGGAGCATTCGGTAGAGTAGAGTTGTGGATGAAGGTGTCATGAGATATGTGCATTTGAGTACTTAATATAATTTTTTGTCCATCAGCGCTGCATAACTACTTTAGTGTAATAGATTTTTCAACGACATATTCGACAGTTATTATAGATGCCGGCTTTGGGTGTGTCAGAACAATGAACTGCACACTCTAAAAAATATGATACGGACAGCAATAACTTTTTACTGTCATATGACCTTCAGGAGAATAGCTAGCGCTCATTCTGCTGATAAATAAATTTTTTGTAGACGAATACGTGCAGCAAAATCACAATGGATTTTTTATTATTGGTTATGACATTGCTTTCGCCGGTCGGAGAGTATGTACTTTATCTCCAACCGAGCCATATCACAACAATGCTTTTTGCCGGTCGGACAGTATGTGCTTTATCTCTAACCGAGACATATCGCAAATTGGCTGTCCCTGATTCAGATGTTTGGACGTATCGCTACAGTAACCTGACCTCTTTTATTTGAGTAGCTGATTTTGATTCGGTAAAATTTTCCGAGTAAATTTCATGAGTACCCATAGCTTGGCTCATTCACTCATTATCAAAAAGAAAAACCAGGTTGATACGGGTTAAACTTCCGCGAGAGTCATAACTGATGAGAATTATGCCTTTCTTTCTCGATTATGGCTGATTAGATAATGTACAAAAAGTTTCTCAAAATTTTTCCGCTGTTCTCATTCTGGGCCACTTTCCTCTTCCTCTTTCCATACCCATTTCCGCTGATTATACCTGAGCATTGAATAAGTGTAATTCTTACAAGAGAACGATACTCAGTGTCCGTGGCCTTTTGAGATGAAATGTATACCAATACACTCGCCTTCGAACGCTGATTTCAAATCTGATTTCCGCTTCTGCTGAACGTTTTCTGAGAGAAGTCATGAAGGATTCTCGCGCCAAATTTGGCCGCGCGAGGCACATACGATAGAAACACCAACATGGTAACATGTTAACATGCATTTTTCTATTCATTGTCATTTTTATAGGCACCTCTTGGAATAAATATAGGAAACGCTCTATAAAAATGAATCCTCGTTGAGTTTTCAACGAGTAAGTACATGCATTTACCCCGAGAAAATCTAATTCTCAAAAAGAAGCTCAACAGCTTTCAAAAAGAAGCTTAATTGAGGCAATGCAAAACTGAAAAATACAAAAAAATCTGAAGCTACACCTGCATCAGCTTGTAAGGCTAACGCACTAGCCACTACACCACAACTACCGGCGGTATTTGGTGTTCCTATCATATCTCTGGAGGCCAAATTTGGCGCGAAAATCCTTCATAACTTCTTTCAGAGAAACGTTCAGCAGAAATGGAAACCAGATTTGGAATCAGCGTTCGAAGGCGAGTGTATTGGTATACATTTCATCTCAAAAGGCTACGGACACTAAGTATCGTTCCCTTGTTAGGCACCTTAAACTATTCGAAGACTGTAAGGGTCTCGATTACCAATCCATTCAAACTCTTATATAAGCCGTTTAACAAACGAACAATCAAGCGTCTTGTTTGCGCATTCAGGAATTTTTTTCCTAATCTATCCAACCATGAGAGCAATTAAACTTATGAGAAGACGTCAATCCAAAGTACTCAGCAGGAGTTCAATACACTCGATGCATGAGTTAATTTTTGTAATAAAATAAAGACTAGGAGAAATTCTTAGTGCCAGTACATTTCTTCACAATTACCGCCGCTTTCAAATTATTTACAACGCACTCAGCTGTGTGATAACAACACGTGCTTAGACGGCTTAGGAAGAAAGCTCTTTCCAAGAAAGAAAAGCTTCTTAACTATTCAACTGCTATTCTTGGGTTATTTTAAAACTTCCTTCGTCTTTGTATCTCTTTTTAAACAGCCGATATTGGTGGAAAGAACCATTCCTTATGAACATTTATATCTTCTAAAAGCCATTTTCTTCTAATTCCTCAAACACAATTTCGTTTTCGTAGAATTTAGTTCAGTGTGTAGTTAAGCAATTAGAAAGGACAACAAGACGAATCTGAGAATTTTCTTTTGCTCTGTTGCCTTGAAATCTACTGCCAGAAGAGAAAATTTCCTTTGAAACATATGTAGTGTTTGCTGGAGACCGATGCTACGAAATGCTTACCAAAATATGATTTTAGATTGAACCTATAGATTTTCAACATGCATGAAGTGTCGTTGTACTTTTAAGTTGCATAAAAATCATGAACATATTGCTCTCGGATTTTCTATACGGTGTCAGATTAGACCTAGAATCATTATTACTGGAAAAACAAAAAGACTTCCTGAATTGTCAGCAACGAACAAATCAAAAATGTCAAAAAAGTGCATATTGTGGCACTTCAGGAAGAGCAAAATGTGGGTCTTTTCGGTCTCTTCTGCACAAAAAAAAAATTCTGAAAAAACTTGTTGAAACTCTAGGTTAGCAACTGCTCAGCCGTTTATTGGCTACATAATGAGCAGGGCTTTTGCAGTTCTACTACATTCCAAATCAAGTTATGGCTTTGCAAAATGGAGGTTTTTGAGGGGGCGCTTTTTTAAAAGAAGTGTTTCTCGATTTTTGCCTACATTCGCTCATCGAGTAGTTGGTCGACGTGGTGCTTACAAAGAGGGCAGTAAAGACCTTAGGCTTAACTGTCGCTTGGGGCCCCCCAGCGGGTGGAGGACTACATGTCGCCGAAGTGGGAGGGTCCCGCGCGGACAGTGCACCAGATACTTAGCCAACGCATGTATTGTAATGTGTATTTGCCGCAGATGTCCGGCGGGACCTCCCACTTTCGGCGACTTATACTCCCCCCCCCCCACCAACTCCCAACGTCAGTGGTATCAAGGCTTTCCTGCATCGGCGGTAGGATGCAAGGGGTCCTTCCGTGAAACCAACGTACAAGTGGTGGCGATACTTGCGAGAAAGCCAAAAGCGCCTGCCACCCTACAACGCCATGCCACTCTTAGAGGCCCTTGCCACCAGCCTAACTTAGCAGTTATTACGGCACCTGCGGGTCAATACTTGCCCCGGCTATTGACGCTTGGGGCTTGTTCCTCATAATCTGGGCACTCAACCAGTGTCGTGTCAGAACCGATCGTTTACTCTAGGCAAGATTGAAAGATAACCACATGATGTTGCGAAATAATCTCGGAGCCATAGTCGAGCTTGGCTCACCGTATCGATCACAATACAGTTGCTAAATGTCCACCATTTATCCACCTGTACTTCCTACGCTCAACAAAAGCGATGAGTATAACTGATTAGAGCTGTTACAATCTGGGGCCAGCGAATCAAAAAAACCCTTAAGCGTCATCGCCGACTGTCAGGCCCGAGCGCACCCCAAGTTACCTCGTTTCCTGTGGGAAAAGAAAGGCAAGATTCTAGGGGGGCGGAAGTTTCTCACCCGAGCCATATTCTCGCACCTAAGTAATGTGCCTGCCAGGATATGCGCTATAATTACGAGCTCCTCAGGAGACCAAGATATCGCAAGCCCCGCCCCCTTGTCCAGTGTTGCTCCAAATGATGAAACCGGATATTCGAAGAAACTTTCAATCGAAGTTCAGAAGTGAATCTGCTCCAATCAAGACCAAATTTCGGATGTAGAGATTTTCGAGGTTGCTCTTTTCACTAGTGGTACCTCGTTTGTTGCAAGATCAACGTTCAGCACCGCGAATGTCCAGTAGAGATCAAAAATGGGATTTGTATGAAATTCAATCCTGAATACCAGAATATGGTTGAATCAAAATAGACTGCAAAAACTAGCACGTGTGTGTAAAATCATTCGTACTCTGTAACAAGTTAAATTCAGCTATAAACTATATTTCTGAGATTTTAAAATAACCCGAGTTTATCTCAAAATTCCAAAATCGCAACGGTTGCCTCCAGTGACAGCACGTCTGTGGCTTTTTTGCCTGAAGAAAGTCATTACGGATAATATTCTCAAACCAAATCTGGGAAAAAGCCAATACAGGTTAACCATTTTTTCGAGAGCTGGTAAACCTGAATTTGATCTTGTTTTGAAAAAGGAGACCTCGGAAACCCCTAAATCAAATATTGATCTGTATTCAGGACTAGATTTTACGCAAAACTAATAAAGATGTTTTTCTCTACTGTTTGACATCACTCCGAGCTTTCTAGGTCTGCTATGAAGCTTTATAGCATTCAGCCAGCTTCGATGACCTCAGTGACCTGTGATATATCAGGTTTCAAGAATTACTTGGCTGGGTCATTATCAGCGCCGTATTTTGACATATTCTTGAGACTGAATTCGGGAAGGAAAGCACTACGATCACATATGTATTCCTGCATCTGTCATTTCAATTCTATGGAAGTACTTCGTTTTTTTTGCGTGAGAAACACGTTTTAGTCTCCAAAATATTATTTGAAAAGTCAAAGCGCTATTGATATTGCACAAAGCATATATCGTTATGGAGAAAAGCGATTTTGAGAAAAATCGAAACTCTGAACTTTGGTCTTGATTTGGAAAAGATTTCGAAAACCTCTAAATCCGAATTTTCATCCTGGTAAAGCATTAACGGTGCGAACGTTGACTTTGCAAAACAAGTACCACTGTTGAAAAAAGAAACCTCGAGAACTCCTAAATCCGAAATTTGGTCTTGATTGGAGCAAATTCACTTCTGAACTTCGATTTCGAAAGTTTCTTCGAAAATTCATCATCTGGAGCAACATTGGACAAGGGGGCGGGGCTTGCGATATCTTGGTCTCCTGAGGAGCTCGTAATTACGAGCCCGCATATGCCTGGCAGGCACATCACTTAGGTGCGAGAATATGGCTCGGGTGAGAAACTTCCCGCACCCAGATTCTACTATTCTACACTCCTCTTTGAAAGCATAAATAATGCTTTCAAAGAAGAGTGTAGAAGTGAATTGTCAAAAAGGCATATCCTTTACGTAGTTTCGTTTTCGTTAGGCCTCAGGCAGAGTTCCCGCGATTTTATCGTCGCCATTCATCGTGACAAAACAGATGTTACGAATACATTGTACGCCGATCTTCTTGTATTTCGGTTGTGATAGTTAGTCACGATCAGTCGTGGAAAACTATCACAACCGAAATGCAAGAACATCAGCATGCAACGATATTGTTACAGTCGTCTTTTCGCGACGAAACGCGAAGATGGATTCGCGTGAACTCTGCCCGAGGCCTTATCGCCATAAGCAAAACACGTTCAAATAGAGACTAATTTGCCCTACTGCATTACTTCGGCAAAAAAGAATTTTAAAAGCAAAGGTGTGCTTACTGTTTGTGTGGCACATTCTCTTCACTACAATGTCAAATCTTCATCATGTTGGAAGCAAATAACCGGAGTAGTGCCGTTTCTTGCTAGTTTGAAGCGATATGGTTGTCTATAAGGTCAAGGGAATTGAAAACAAGAGACACTTAACCGACTTGCGCTTCCGTTTGCTCACAGAAATACTGTAGTTCTTTTACAGGTGCTTTCCTTGACAGCAATGTGAAGAGAAGAGCAGCAGCAGATGCGAATACTGTTATCACAACTTCCAACAACAATGCTTGCTTCAAATCGAAAAATTCTCGCATAGAAGCTCCTCTAGCATCCGCTAGATCGCTTTTTGACGAGAATGGAAAAGCGTAGATTTTTCATATCTAACTCACCATTTTGGTATTAGTGTCCCGATAAAGACAATTATGTACATTCCATTAGATAGTTTGACTTTAGCGATTTGCAGCTATCTTCACGTCATAACAATAAAAATCGTTTTTTAGTTACACTTATCAGTCAACTGAGCCTTGACTTCTTCAATTGGACAGACATCACCTGACAGCTACGTATCCACCCTCCTTGTAAATTCAGGGAGTTATTACTTCGTTAGTGTATGTAGCAAGTTTGACCCTTTCCACGAGTTCCGAACTCCACTTCTTCCATAACAGCTGGTCTTCTCCTTCTTCTATCATGTTTCACTTCTACAACATAAACAGTACTCTTGAAATAGTCCCATGCAGATATATATATATATATGTATATATATATTCCAAGTTTCTCTGGATTTTTGTGAATTTTGAGATCTATGCCAGCAAAACTGCGCTGGTCTCACCATGACTTCAAAGTCCCACATGCGAAAACACAGAAAATCGCTCTCGAAACATCGATTGTGCAGTTCTCTTACAAACAAGAAAATGATAAGAACTTTAAGAGCGATCAAACTCAACTCTGGAGTGGGTTAACAGTGCAGCTGCACTCTAAAATAGATATTAGCTTGTAAAACATTCTCACCACCTCATTGTAAAAATGTACAAAAATGAGATTCGCGGCGATAGACAGAATTCGGAAAGATTTGATTATGGAAAGAGTAAGCGTGAACACAAGTTGTGAACGCAAAGTCTAGATTTCACACTTTCTAGAACATTTTGATTCAGAATGCGGTTCATACTGTACGTTCTCCTTCTGGGCATTGCCACAAGTCAGGATGTTCGTTTTGACTGTCATCCTGAACCAGATGCTAACAAGGCAGAATGTGAAAATAGGAAGTGTATCTGGACGGAGGACACTACGGTACGCTTTAGTATCGGAACAAAAACTTTGGCTCCAACAGCAAAGGTTTCTTGCAGGAAGGGGCACCACATTGCTATATGAAATCCGGCATTGGCTACAAGCTTTTGAATAAGACAGGTGATGTGAGTTGAAACTTATAAGCATTTTTCGAAAATCCATGAGGTGAAATACTCAGGTGAGAACACTTACAAAGAACGACGGACCAAAGAGCCCTTGGGACAAAGATCTTAAGGAAATACTTTTCGCTTCAAAAAAAATTGGAAAGACCTTAAATGTCAAAATCTACCTTCCTAACAGGTTTAGTTGCCATGCATTGGGAATATCCGCCAATGCATTTTATTGCAATTCAGGTACGAGCCACCACTTGATCTACCACTTGAGGAGTCCAAGTCGAGTGAGGAATTAGAGGTCAATGATTGACTTCATGTCGAAATGCACACAATCATCTAATCAGTTCAAACAATTTCAGCTTACCACATACGATGACAAGGATCCATTTTACTTCACCGTCTCCCGTAAATCCACTCATACAACACTGTTTGACACTTCGTTAGGTGCGTATCACACATGCACATTTAGTATTTTATCTTCTAGAACTACTCTTGAATTGGTTAATCAAAGTTCCCCAGACAAAATACCGTCTGGTCTACTATCAGTTCCATAAATCCACCCTTATAAGCTTTGCAAAAGCAGACACCTTTACCAATGTGAAATGTGAACGTTCAAAAAGAGGCGGTTTGAGAGTTTTTCAGAAGGCAGTTCATTCGGGCTACACTTTTTGCTCTTGCTAAGGATCGTGGCACGAGTGGGAACGTCCTCTGTGACATTTTTGGACTCACTACTATCAGGAGTCCACACTAAAACAAATATTCTTGATAATTGGTCCATAGTCCAATGATATTGAGAGAACACCGAACAGACAAACCGCAAAAAATGAAACAGATAATCGCTTACGGGCACGCTTTGCAGTCTGAGCAGGAAGGACCGTATAAGCGTCAGGCCCCGGGCACACCTCACGCAATCTCAGCCGCGACGAGATTTGGCAATACCAACTGTAAAACCCACCCTAAGCGCATTCTGAATGAACAGAAGATGGGATATTTTATCCATCTGCGAAAGTTGTACATAATGTGAGTTTGTAGTGTGCGGGTGGAAATTCAAAGATCTGGCAGATTGCCAGATTGCGTGGTGACTGAAATCGCGTGAGGTATGTTCGGAGCCTAGAGGAAGAGTGCGAAACCGTTTCGTGCTAGCATAAAAGCTTTCAATGTGCAGCGCGACAATTTATAGAAGAAGTTCTGGTTCTAAAGGGCCCAGCTCAGCTCAGTTAGCCGGAGCGGATCCAGTTAGTTTGCAAGAAAAAATGTCATTATCGTTCATGTAAAGGATTTCTCAGCCACAGTGCAAGGCCTGTGAAGAACATGCGCTCACCATATATGGTGCCATATCATTGAGTGTTGCTCGCAAACAAGGCATTTGTTTATTTAATTTTGCATTCTCGCTGTGCTAGATTGCATCAAATCTATTTGTTATATGAACCGCATACGCATGTCAAAAACATTTCCAAGACAAGATTTTTGATGATATAGCAATAGCGTTCTATCATGGTGTAGGGTCCGAGCTGAGACGGGTATGCCAGCTGATTTGCACATGAATTATCCCCAGCTCAATGAAGACTGATCATGATTAAAGATCTCAGAACTCTTTAAGGAACAAGAGAACGCTGACCGTTTTAGAGATGACTAAATGAATGTCAAAGAATTTTCAGGGGGACTAATATTTTGCGACAAGTTCATTCAAATTGCTACAAAATTACCATCTGAAGCAATGTATGGATGGGGAGAAAATGTCCATCCAACACTAAAGGTGAGTGAACAAACAAGAGGATTGCTTGAATAGGTCTGAAGATTTCAGCACAATTTTACACGCTACACAACGTGGGCAATGTTTGCAAGGGATGAACCACCAAGTTCGAATCACATTGAAACTAAAAATCTCTACGGTGCGCTGGATTCACTTTAATGGTATCAGTGTATATACCTGTTTGAGGGGTCCATCCATTCTACATGGTGTTGGAGCCAGACGGCAAAGCTCATGGAGTGTTGATTCTCAACAGCAACGCACAGGTACACAAAAGCAATCTGCTCTTTCCAGGCAGAACCACAGTATACTTCAAAATATTCGAATTTGTTCTAATGAACGAGCGAATATATTCGAAAAGCAAAAACGAAAAGCAAAATAATCGAGTTTTGATTATCCTGAAAACTAAAAATTGCCCGATATCCGAAAATATTTTCTAGGATAAAACATCTTGAATAAATGAATACCAAATATTTTCCAAAAAAAATATCAACCGATCGAATATATTCGAAAATGAATAATTTCGAATGTTCGAATCACATCGACTATGTCGCAAAAAAAAGATTAAGCCGAGGAACAATGATGGACTCAGGTAGTATGGAAACCTATCCTTAGACAAACATCTATCTGCTGCTTCTATCTGCTTAGCTGTCCAAATTGATGCTTATTAATTGAAGGACTGATAAACTCGGTTCCCTTCGGTCCATGTACACATATTGCAACAGACGCCACCGTTTCTACCAACTCTACAAAGCAGATTTCTGTCTCCGTCACCGTCTACCCAAATTTCCAGCTTCCATTTTATTGTCGTTTCAGGGCCTTCTCATGTCCCTGATTTGGAATATCAAGTCGGAAATTTCCGAAAACCCCGACAAACCTGTTCCGCAGAACTATGATGATTGGCTGGGTGCGCACATATTGGCGGCAGATCGTCACTACAGTTTAAACGGGAGGAGTCAACGCGGCGAATCCGTCATCCGATGAAGCGATTTTCGAAGCAATTTTCTCGCTTCGGAAGCAACTTTTGACAATGCGAGTTGCTACTGTTAGGCATCAAAGTCTCATCGACACTTTGGGGTAGACAGTGCTTGCAAGAACACGAGATTACATAGGTAAGGTAACATGCACAGTTGCTGCTTGCAGAAAATCGCTGAGATTGATAAGAGCAGTTGTTATTCGTAACCAGTGTTCACTTATGCCGCTCAATTCTCGCTCCCACTGGCATGCTCACTTAAGGCCTAAGGCATACCTCCAGCGATCCAATCGTCACGATTTTCGATCGCTGCGACTAGACTGCCTGGGCGACCGTCCACTGCGTCAAAACGCCCATCGCTCGACTCTTGGGCATATCCGTAGCGATTTTGTGAACGCTCACACACCACAATGCATTATACGCAGTTTTGGAAAACCTGCGCTAAATTCTCTGAAATGCATTTATTCGAGAGAATTCGAGCAGAATGTGACGCCATATGCTTTAAGAGAACATTACATCAAACAAGAAAGAATATGGATTCACACACATCCCACTATCTACCGATGTTTTTCTACTGGCGCAAGTTTAGTAGTTACATCTGCGATGAAATCAGCAATTAGTTCATAAAGTTTTTGAGTTCTCTTTCAGTCACTGGTAGGTATATAGGCTAGCATTGTTGTAAAATCATGCTTTCGTCTTTGTAGAAAACTCTGAGTAGGTTATTTCAACAACGAGTACTGCGCGAGCTCGTGTTTGCCAATCTGCGAACGCTTATACAAATCATTCATTCTCTAACTAAAAGACACCAGAAAGCTTTGCGTGCGTTTAATAAACAAGTTTACGAGCAAGGTTCTTGGTGAGACATGTTCAAGCTCGTAAAACAACGCGAGTTCGATCATGTTTATGCACGAATTCCCAATAATGAATTACCAAATTGCGTTAAAACGCAATAGCAACTTATAAACGGAGTGTACGCGAAGCGTGCTCGTGTTTCTTACTCAGACAACGAACGATATATATCTGAGCGACCAAGATTGCACATCTATTCTACCCACTTCGGAAATTACAGGAACATTCGAAATTCGGTCACTACTTGTAATCAGTTAACAAGAACAGGAGAAGATTGATACATTGCGAGAAGAGTAAATGCTAACGGAGAGGGTGAGGCGACATGTGGGAAACATTCCATACTATATAACTCGCATGTTCCATACTATTAATCCTTGTTTCCAAGGATTAATAGTATGGAATGTTTGATGACCATCCTTCTCTCATGCAGAGAGGAAACGCTTGTGTGAGATGGAATAGTCTTAAATGAAATTTGCATTTGCAAAAAAAAAATACAAAACTTCATAAGAAGAAGCTATCCGAGCGATTCGCTCATCGCTGGGTCGGACCTATCGACAGCGACATCGCCGAGTTTCAGCGATGTCGCGACGATTTCCCTGCCGAGGTATGCCCGTCCAAAAACGGCCCGCGATCCATCGCGGCGTCAATCTAACACAGACGCTGCAGGACCACACAGTTGCGCTGCGGACTCGGAACATATGTCCGAGTTGGAGTTTGCGACGCGACTGGGATCGCGGGAGGTATGCCATAGGCCTAAGGGTGCATGATCAACATTCCGCTAGGGAGGGAACGCAGCTTAGAAGAAACTTCATATTTTTTAGCTCTGTACATATGGATTTTTTCGTCTAATCGTCCGCATGTGTTACTGTAATACTAACCTTTGCTAAACATACCGAACAGAAGCAAGAAGTTTTTTGAGCTGCAACTTCCAGTTTTTTGTGTGATCCCCCGGTCAGCGACCAGCCGCCTTCATTTTTCTTTCTTCAAGGTCAGTGAAAACATCTCAAAGTTGTACCGATTATCTAGCCCACAGCATTGGGCATTTTTTTTCAAACGAGTAACCAGATGGTTGAGATTTTCGATAAGCCCCGATTTCCGACTTGTGATTCGTCGCAATTCTCATGACTTCCATACATCATTTATTCTTATCAGACATACTTAGCACCGTCGGATTAGATATTGTGGAAGTGCAGCTTTGGAATGTTTACATTGATTGCGATAAAGAAAAGAACTCTGAAGGTAAAACTGTCAACCGTTGAGGCATGAGGGGATCATGCAAAAAGCTGGGAAACGTTGCTTATGCAATATGCTACTTAATAGTTCACAATGTTAAGGGTATCAGAAATATTCGCGATGAAGCAGCAGTATGAGATCTAGATCTTTGAAATTTTTGTATTGAGCTGCAATCCTCTCCTTGGCAGAGATGTCCACATGCAGCCTTTGAACTTGTACAGAATCCCAATTTCTGAGCTGGAGGAAAGAACGCAAGGGGACAAAACCATGGGCATGATCATACTTTCGATAGTCTAGAGACAGGGCGCCAAAAGTGAAGATTGTTTGAACATCTGACGTTAATAGTGAAGGTTGTCAAAAGAAGATCAGAGAAGAGGAAATGACGTAGAACAGATAAAAAAAGCAAAAAAAACTGTTGTAAACCGGATAAAAACGCTGCAATAAGGTTGAAGTCTTTCATTTGGCGGCTTTTCAGAGTGCAAGTTTTCGTTCCAGGACCAGCAATTTGCAACACGGGGTTCTGATTTTTGATGCGTTTGAGTTTTTACCCCCTCATTGACGTTCCTGTTTGCTGGGACGTTGTCTGGATTGTTGCGCTTATTGTTCTGAGCAACAATCGCCCAAGCTTGAAAAAAATTGATGCGAAAGCACTGGAACAGAACAAAGTAAAGAAAAACGCACTTTTTACGAATTTTCGCAAAAAATTCCACTATAATCGAAGAGGTAAGGGCTGGGTGGTTGTCAGAGTTATGAACACAAGCGAGATCTGTAGAATGCACGAAAAAACCGCGTAAAAAGAGTTAAACTAGGAGAAAAACAAGAGATTTTTGAAAACAAGGTTTTTGCCGGATTTCTCGACCAGTTTGAAAAATGTGGATTTGGGACGTTGTCAGCGTAAAAATAGAGATCAAAAGCTTCAAAATGATATATAGCTTGTTAAAATTGGGTTCGAAACGGCGAAGAAAAGGGTACCAGAGCCAAACGCCGCGCGCCCCGCGTTTGGGGTACCGAGGTAGCGCGCAGCGCGCGGAGATGCATACGAGCAGCTACCCGACGGGGCATTTGGCTCTGGTAATAGATCTCCGCGGGATCTCAACCAAACCCTGCAACATTATATATCATTCTGATCGTCATAAAAAGAGGAGAACTGACAACGTCCCAAACTTTGAAATTCACTCATTAACGAGATAAATGGCGTTTTCGTGCGCGATTCTCTGCGCAAATTTAAGCGCAGTTTCTCGTTTTTATTTATTTTTTATTTTTATTTCTCCAACAGCTTTCCTAAACTTCTGAAACTCTATTTTAGTCAAATGAGAGGTTAATTGAGGAATTTTGTCCTGAATTCTGGCGAAAATTTTACAGAAACCTTCTTTTTAACGTGAAAAAGGCCATGAAAACGCAAATTCTCGGTTTCGCTGAGATAAGTTAAAGATATTATTCCCTATATTTGCTTCATTGACATTCGTTTCCAGTAGTCAGAATAATAACATCCGGGGCGAAGCCCCGGATGACTTCTGTTTTTTCCAGGTGAAGGTTGTGTTCCCTCATAGCCCTCAAAGTGAAGGTTACCAGAGTACGTGGCTCTATGTATCGAGGGTATGGGCATGATGGATCATGCCACGTGATGTAAAGGGCGAACGAGGAGTTGTGTTGGTACCTCCGAGCAGTTAACAAAAATCCTCAACAAAGTAGCTTATAGAGGCAGAAGGCTGAACCTCCGTAGAAGCAGAAAGTCCCCGAAGACAAAGTTTTACTCGAATAATTGATCAAATTCGAAAGTGGCAACTTTGGGATAATCGGATAACGAATATACTTGAGATTTGGATCTTTCAAATGGTCGAAAATCGAATAAGCTTTATTTAAATACTAGCTGGCTTGCCCGGCTCCGCCGGGCCTGCCAGCTAGACCCGTGTACGTATGTTCCAAATAGAAAATTCCATTTCTGAACCGATCCGGACCAAACTTTGCACACATACACTTCGGGCCCCGGCGGGTGTCACAGTCCACTTTTCGTTATCGATCGATGTCGATTATACCGATTTTTATCGATCTTTTTTGCAGAGTTCACCTACAGGGCTAGGAGTTGGCACAGGGGGGAAGTGAGCATGGGGATTCCGAACACAATATTAGTTTTCAGAATTATCGATTACTTTTATTGATTTTATCGATTTTTTTGTAAATTTTGACCTGCGGGGCTGGGAGTTTGCACAGGGGGGTAATCGAGCATGCTGATTACGAACACAATATTAGTTTTCAGGATCGTCCATTACTTTTATCGATTTTATCGATTTTTTTTGTAAAGTTTGACCTGCGGGGCTGGGAGTTTGCACAGGGGAGTAATCGAGCATGCAGATTACGAATACAATATTAGTTTTCAAGATCGTCCATTACTTTTATCGATTTTATCGATTTTTTGAAAATTTGAGCTAGGGGGCTGGAATTTGGCACAGGGGTGTAATCGAGCATGCTGATCACCCCCCTTGGGGATGATCAGCATGCTCGATTACCCCCCTGCGCCAACTCCCAGCCCCCTAGCTCAAACTTTGCAAAAAAATCGATAAAATCGATAAAAGTAACCGATAATCCCGAAAACCAATATTGTATTCGGAATCCCCATGCTCGACTACCCCCCTGTGCGAACTCTCAGCCCCGTAGCTCAAACTTTGCAAAAAAATCGATAAAATCGATAAAAGTAATCGATAATCCTGAAAACCAATATTGTATTCGGAATCCCCATGCTCGATTACCCCCCTGTGCCAACTCCCACCCCCGTAGCTCAAACTTTGCAAAAAAATCGATAAAGTCGATAAAAGTAATCGATAATCCTGAAAACCAATATTGTATTCGGAATCCCCATGCTCGATTACCCCCCTGTGCCAACTCCCAGCCCCGTAGGTGAACTCAGCAAAAAAATCGATAAAAATCGATAAAATCGATATCGATCGATGACGAAAAGTAGCCTATGACACTCGCCGGGGCCCAAAGTGTATGTGTGCCAAGTTTGGTCCCGATCGGTTCAGAAATGGAATTTTCTATTCGGAACATACGTACATACAGACATACAGACAGACATACAGACAGACATACAGACATACAAACAGACATTCAGCTTTATATATAAGATTTTAATCTGATATTTGAATATTTATTCGATCAAAGCATAGTTGCTCTCCAAAGTTACCTTATTGCAAATCACTACTATAATATTCACACCGCAAGTTAGCTACTTTGCTATGAGAAAGCTAAACAGTGATATCCCTATTTATTGTAGGCGCGCGGAGCTACTAAATGTGCAGATTTTTGGTGCTGCTAGCAAATCTTCTGTAATGAAATTTTTAGGAGGTCACAACTGCGCCAGGACCTGCGTTGATCTATCGTACCATTGGAGGCATTCTCGATATGTATTTCTTCCCAGGTCCTACTCCAGAAGAAGTAACGCAACAATATCTTGCACTAGTCGGAAGGCCTTTCTTGCCTGCATACTGGGGACTGGGCTTCCAGGTACGTTTGTTATAAAATATGCAGCTGTTAATCTTTGAATATCATTTTAGATATCACGTTATGGCTATAAGGATCTGAATGAGCTGATAAATATAACCGAAAGAAATGTGGCAGCAGGCATTCCTTTAGATACAACAGTGGCAGACATAGATTACATGGACAGATACAAAGACTTTACCACTGGAGAGGTACGTTTTCTATTAGGTTGTCCCTAAAGTAAACTCCTTTTCCAAATAATTCAAGCTATTTTTGTTTTCTTAGTAAACCTAGAGAAACATTCGATAGAGCAGATCGAGCTCTACAAAACAGCTACCAAGGGGGGGCGGGCGTTAGGTACCCAGCCGAGATGCGGGCGTTAGGTACCCAGCCGTTAGTGGTATACACTAAGCCACGCTCCTTGGTTGCTTCAACAGCGGGTACCTAACGATACACCGAATTCTAGGTGCTAAAACAGCTCACTTAGCTTGCGAAAGTGCTGGCGCTTGCGACTCACAGAATAGAGGGAGTTTGAGGAAATCAAAAGAAAAAAGCGCAAATGAAAGCGCAAGTTTGTATGCAGCGTTTTTCTATTGCCTCTTTTTTCAATTTAAGAAGCTTTTATGAGCACTTCACATAGTTCAAAAAAAATGTGATAATCGGATCTAATCGATAACGTCAGCAATTTCAAAAAGTAAACTTTGTAGAATTCCAATAAACAGATGCTCCTGGCAATTAGATGCGAGAAATAATCCCTTGTTCCAAAACTGCTTCAAATACATTTTTTGACAATGAGAAGTGGAACCGATTGGAAGAAGAGCTTCCACGAGAAATTGACATCAAAAATCGGAACTTTATAGTCTATGTGACCCATAATTTATGAAAAGGCACTAGCTCTGTTCCAAACAATGAAAGTTTTGCATCACAGAGCGATTTCGAAGCCAATTTTGATGGAGTGTGTGCCGATAGAATGAAACAGGAAAAAGCATCAAACTCTACTGGGAGTAATTTTTACAATATCTTTCGCTTTTTAGTGAGCTACAAAAATCATAACTTTGGTTGGCCAAGTTGATCATATTTTTTTGCTAGAAAAGAGGATGAATATGAATTTATGATCCTCCAAAAAGGCACTACAGAGAACATTTACATGATAATATAAGTACTTCAATGAAACTTTTATGTGAGATGCGAAATCTTCCAAAATTAAAAAAAATGAATGCGCTTATCATACTGTTCCATATCTGCTGACCTCAGCAATGACCTAAGTAATATCCTTAATAGTCGAGGATAATGTAGTTCACAATCTCTGTGGCAATATTAATGTGACTATAATTTCACACCTCAAAACGAGGCCGACGACAATATGTGAAAAAAATATTCCTTCAACTTATTTGCCAGGAACATCTCCGAAAGTGCGTTTTGCTTCATAAAAATAAGAAATTTTGGTTCATTGGAATTCTACAAGTTCACTTCTTTGAAAATCCCCCTGACATTATCGATTAGATCAGATTATCACAATTATTTCTTGCCTATGTGAAGTGCTCATAGAAGCTTTACCCTGTTTTTAACTTTCATCACCGAATATCTGTGATTCTAGAATTGATTTTGAAAAAAGAAGCAATATAAAACATTGCATACAAACTTGCGCTTTCATTCGCGCTTTTTCTTTTGATTTCCTCAAACTCTCTCTTTTCTGGGGGTCGCAAGCACCAGCGCTTTCGCAAGTTAGGTGAGCTGTTTCAGCAGCTGGGATTCGGTGTATCGTTAGGTACCTGCTACTGAAGCAACCAAGGGGCGTGGCTTAGTGTATAAGACTAATGGCTGGGTACCTAACGCCCGCACCTTGGCTGGGTACTTAACGCCACGCACCCGCTAACAAGGATTCACCTAAGTCGCCCTCTATGGGAAGTTTGAAGCCAAAATCGGAAGCAAATTTTATCACTTAAAAATTGGATTTCTGCGATAAAGAATCCTACAGACCTCCAACTTGGTCATTATATGGAAGGCACATAGTAGTACTCAACTATGCCTTTACTAAATTTTTTCCAAGCATGGAAAGCGAAAAACAAAAATTGTCCAAAAATGGCAAACTCCACCCTAGTCCCTTCCAAATGTCATTGTATACTACAAGCCTTACTAAGCATAATTTCAAGAACTTACCCCTGTATGTGCTCTTATATTCGAGAAATACCAAGTTTTACATAAAAAAAACCCGAAAAAGTGACATTTTGGCATTTTCGGACCATCTTTTTTTCTCAAAGTGGATTGCATATAGAGTCTTGTTCATTATTTACTCCGAAAAGCCGTAAAAACTGTTTTCAAAAATGTGAGACCACTAAAAAAGCTATGAAAACTTGTAAAAAGTTATGCAACGAAATCGACATCCTGAAAACCCTGCCACACAATTTTCCAGATTTTTTTGCATTTTTCATTGAACGGCTTCTTTCGGAACGGGGTATGCTAAAGGTTCATACCGTAGTCCTACAGTAAGCTGGGCCTCATATGTAAGAATAATTGCTTTTATACAAATAATCAAAGTGACTTTGACGACTTCAAAGTGACGCAGAGCTTTGAAAAAATCCGCATATTTTACCATTCTTTGTCAAGCATCAATCTGCAGAAATGGCAAGGACTAGCCGAATACACCAAAAAATTGCACGATAAGGGAATGAAACTGATCCCAATATTTGATGTGGGCATACAAGTCGATGATGCTGCTTTCAAAAGAGCATTGGATAAGGCAAGTGAAGTATGCACTTTGGCCGCTGTTTTACCAAGAACTGTTGCAGGGTGCTCGATTCCTTGAGTGGGAGCGACAAGACCAAGTTCCTAAGGATATTCATGTTCAGTGGTTTTTGATTCAGCTATATATGATGAATTTAGAAAGAGGAGAATTCAGGAGAAGTATCCATTGGTGAAAGACAAAAAAGTTATGCTGGCCGTTGTTTGGCCAGATGGACACATTGCATTCCCTGACTTTTTCGATCCAAACGGCAATACTACAGACTGGTGGATTAGCGAATTTGCAAATTACTTCAGAAAAGTTCGTTTTTGTCACGAACTAATACCAAAGTTTTGACTTCACATTCAAATTAAAGGTACCATACGATGGTATCTGGATTGATATGAATGAACCGGCTGCTTTCGGCACCAACGAAGAACGTCCATGGTACTTTGACAATCCAGATCATCCGAACATAACTCCACTCAAATGTCCTATCGATCCAACAAAGAAAGATTCGCAATGGGATGTGCCCCCCTACGCAACGCACGCAGTCTGGCGTTGGGGAAAGGTGAGTTTACCGTATCACTGTGGGACTTAAACAGAAATGGTCAGAACCTGTAATGCCAATCTTCATTTGCTCACCTCCACTGCTGCCGATTATTTGGTTTCAGGACGCTCACTTATCCAACAAAACAATGTGCATGCTTGCATTGCAAGGTAATGGAAAATATCGTCACTATGATGTGAAAAACATTTATGGTTGGAGTGAGGCAAAAGCGACGTTGCAAGCTCAGTATAAAGCAACCGGGAAGAGAGGAGTTGTGGTGTCCAGGTACGACTGTGCTCTCTACTTTATTGTCATGTCTGCCAGAACAAAACGTACCCACTCAAGCCATGCTCTCGCACAGGTGTGCCTAGAATTTGATTTGCTGTAATTACGGTATGTAATCTCAAGGATAACACCATCATAGGAAGAAGGATGAACCGTTTCTCCTGTATATTTCGACAGAAGTCGAGATCGAATAAATAGCGCTTCAGATACTACAACTGAAATTTTGAAGAAATTTCCTTATGTGAGGAATGCTTGAGTAGAAAAGCTCCGTTGCCCATCATAATCACTGTATCGGACACATTCCTCAAACAACTAACCGGAACTTCTGCAGGTTTGGGGAAGTTCCACCGAGTCACCTGCGAAGGTTCCGTAAACGTGCTGCGGAAGTTCCCAAATGAGATTTTGCGGAAGTTCCGAAGAATGCGAACCACAACAGCAAAAGAGAACCTCTAAGCGAGATTTGAAACTTATTCTATTGACAATTAGACTCACCTACTATCCTCTGCACTACGGTTGACATGTTCGATAATACACTCTAGTTGTTGTGAGGCAACATCATACGAGACAAGACATTCAAAACCCTGTAAAAGTACTGGCATTCCAAACTGTTGCGGAACCACTGGCATTTTCGGAAGTTCCGCAGCGCTCTGTAAAAAAAGTCCTGCGAAAGTCCCTGTTTTCGATCAGCCTGACGTTAAAATCCTGCGAAATCCCATTTTCGACGTTTCCACTTTTGCAATAGTAAAAAAAGCCTCCGGAACAGCTGCAAACTTTACTTGTCCTGAGGAAACTTCGGTGAATTGTCTGGGTCTTGACAGCTCCCCAATGCTATGTCGTTTAATCGTTTGACATCGATTTCATAATCTTACCTGACAGGTGTGAAGAGCTAATGAATCGAGTCTCAGGTCCACATTCCCTTCTGGCGGACGATACGCAGGGCATTGGCTAGGGGACAACAGCGCCACATGGGCAGATCTCCAGTCAGCCGTGATTGGTGCACAAGAATTCAATATGTTTGGTTACCCGTAAGTTTTTTGTACTCCCACAGTTGGACGTTATCGGAAGAAACCTGTTTGTAGAAGTCATTCTATGTGTTATGTTATCTAGGTATATTGGTTCCGACATATGCGGCTTCAACGGAGAAACAAATGAAGAGCTATGTCTAAGATGGCAACAGATGGGAGCGTTCCACACTTTTATGAGGTATTAACGACCCAAATATGGCATCAAAACACGCAACACATACTTCCAAAATAAAAGGAAATCTGTTTTGAAAAGCATTTGTTTGTTGAATACTGGTACTCTCTAGCTCTTTTCCTAGTGCACAACATGCACACCCTCGAATATCCTTCTAATAATGTGTTATTTCGGTTTTTTAAACCTATTTGTTTGAAGGATATTCAATTGATCGAAATTACAGCGCTGGGGCAAATAAACGCTTAGCTTTGATTCAACAACATTGGCGGCTGGAAGGCGGGGCTTTGTGACCTAATTAAGCCTGCAACGCAGTCTGCGTCTCTGGCCCGTGTGCTTCTCTGCACTCTCTAGCCTTAGCTAGGTTACAGAGCCCCGCCTTCCAGCCGCCAATCCAGTTGAGTCAAAGGGTACTGCAGCACAATTTTTGTGCTAATAGTCAGATGCGAAGTAAGGCCGAGTTGTCGTTTTACTCCAGGAACCATAATGCCATTAATCTTCCACCTCAAGATCCTTTCATGTGGGAAACTGTCACGGATGCTACTATAAAAGCCAATCTTTTCCGTTATAGCTATCTACCATACTTATACAGGTGAGCAGTAACAAATCTATTGCATGAAAATTGACATTCTTCTTTCAGCTTACATTTTGAGGCATCTATGTACGGAAAGACAGTAATTCGACCAGTTTTCTATGAGTATCCAACCGATACGAAGACTCATGATCTAGGCAATGAGTTCCTTTGGGGTAGTTCCATGCTTATTGCTCCAGTGCTAAAGAAAGTCAGTCTAAGGAGCTCCATCATATTTTGCATTAAATAATATTACAAACGTACCGTTTAGGAGGCTATTAGTGTGCAAGCTTACTTGCCCAAAGATGACTGGTATTCTGTGTTTGATCATAAATATGGAGAACTTATACCGCATGGAGAACAGACATTCCCTGCTCCGTGGGCTTCTTTGATTCCAGTCTTCGTTAGAGGTTTGAGTTCAGCCTTTGAGTAGGAAAAAAATCAGACAATACTAGGTGGAGCCATAATTCCATGCCAAAAGCCCAACGTCACGACGGAGTACACAAGGAAAAATGCTTTCAAACTAGTGATTGCTCCTAAAGCAGGTAAGGTGACGTTCATAAATTTTAGGACTTGCAACTTTTCATACACTCCGAGCATCCATTTTCAGACAAAGCTGACGGTTTCCTTTATTGGGACGATGGCGACAGCATAGTTGAATCATTTTCAACATATTCTTACTATCATTGGACTTTCCATTACAAGGAGGATAAATCTAGGGCGAGTTTGACTATCAACGGAACAAAAAAAGCCGTAAGTTAACCTTACAAATTACGAGGTGTTCCGTCTGTTCAGCTGTGAATTCAGAACAATCTGCAAATTCCTACGCTTGACACTCTGGAGATTTTTAATTATAAGTACTACGCTGATTTTGACAACTTCACTTTGAACGGCAATGAGGTTTGTAGATAGACTTTTGTCAATCCGTAAAAAGAATGCAGAAGTAAACAATAACCGTTGGAACTTTCAGGCAGACTCTTTAAAAAAAATTCAAGTCTAGGATGTTACTCCCCCCCCCCCTCCCCTCCCCGACCCATCTTCTCACACACACTAAAAAAATAAGCGCACTCAATATTGAAATTTCTGGCTGTTACTGAGGCTTCCACATTTGTTACCGTATTTATGGCCTCCGACAAATGGCACACCTACATCATATAGTATCCATACAAAGTTCACAATAAGCATAAATCCTACGCTGTTTTCGTAAGTGTTTTAACAACAATTTTCGTTGATTAAGGTCGAAATTGACAAAGACGCTTCGAGTTACAACTCCGGCAAAAAAATTCTGTATATCACAAAGCGAAATTTCCTTGACATGACCGCGGAGGTGACAGAGTTGTCATGGACACATACAGAACCTCCTGATGTAAGATTTCTCACTAATTTTAATTTCTGCAGCAACGATACTCAAAACATTTTGTTTAGGACGCATCGTGGAAGTGTACGCAATCTTGGCTGTTACTGCTAACGTGTCTTAGTCTTCTCAAACTTTTCTGATTAACAAACTTTAGTCCAAGATTGTGCTCGTGATTGGTCTGCAAACTGTGTCAACAATTCTTAGCTCACTCATTAGATTTTCTATTGCACAATGGGAAAAATGCATTTTTGATAAGGAAAGCAAAGCGATTTAATGATATCATTTCATGTCAATAAAGGATCAGTATATTGTGATGTCGTATAATGGATACTTCTCCTGTGAAGATTTTTACAACGGCATTGTGAGAGATTCTTCTTTTACTGCTTATACATTTCGCCCAAACTTCTTTCCAAAAAGTTGAAACAAGTCAAGCGTCTCACAGTTCGTCAACAAAATCTTACTGCTACATGGACAAATCAAAGTCTTAGTGCTGCTTGAATCACTGAATTGAGTTGGAGAAGAATACCTTGAAAGTCAATGGTAGAACTTAGTGAGTGCAGTGGATTCAGGAACTTTCTCGATCAGCAAGTAGCCACAAGATGCCGTATAATTTTTTGTTGTAGTGAATTGCATTTGTGAATTGCAAAGCAAAAAGTGGCGCTGAATTTGCAAAAGAAATAGGCGTTTATGCTATACCCTGTCTGATCCTTCTTCAAACTTTATTACCGCCAGCAAAACTCACCACATGTTTTCAACATCGCCCTTAAAGAAGTTTTTGATGAAAACTTAAGGGATGAAACAAAAATGAATATTGAAAATCTTTTCGCTCTCTAAATGGAGTTGTAAGATAGATCAAGCAGTATTTTCTTATGGAAATTTGCTAGAAAAAGATCTTGAAGAAACTCTTTCTGAATGCATCCTATCTGCTTGTCAAATTTTCAAAAATCTTGCTTTACCACTATGGGGCTCGCAAATACCCTTTTGGGCACACCATCTTACGCGAAAGATGAAGTACTTATAAGCATTGCTAGCGCAAATCGCTTGTATATTTAGAACCTTATATCTTCTATATCTTCTATACACACAGCTAATTATAACTCGTTAGTCGTCTTACATTGTAGTTGAACAGCTGGGAAGTAAAAAAACGTTCCAAGAGAGCCAGCTCAAATATTCAAAGCACGCTTTGAGCGGTTAAGCAGTTCTTCATTGTAAAGACCCATCCCAACTGAAGCGTAGATAATCATTCCATGGCAGATTGCGAAAAAAAAGATGCCGATTGTCAATAATCGCATTATGCTTATCAACTTGATGTTCAGACTTTAGTACCAAACCCAGACTTGCGATGCTCGAAAACAGAAGAAAATCATAACTTATAATAACGGGCTAAGGGTTGTTTACGTGTTTTTGTGTGTGTGTGTGTCTGTCCGTTACGAAATTCGTAGAGCGAATTCCAGCCAACCTCTTGAGCCCAAATTTTGCACGGTGCATGCTAGCAGCATGAAAGTCCGCTATGCAAAAGCACGAGCGGATCCGTTGACTGGATCCCTCAAAAACTGCGCTGCAAATGGATCCACTTGGCTTCTGAACAGCAAAATTGGGCCTGTACCACCACTTTTTGCAAAGTTATGGATATGATTAACAAGCTAATGTGCAAGCCATGGACTTTAGCCCAAAAAATTGAACTAAAGTTGATTACTTTACAAAAATGGCGCCGAGAAAAATCAGTTGCGTAAATGTTCAATTTGCCAAGATTTTACCTAATCATTTGGGAAGATTTTTGCACAGAGATGTAGCCCACGGTGATCATCGTCATTATAGCGACTATTAAACCATAAAAAGTCCAAAAATCGGTTCAAATTTGCATTTATCCTTCTCGGAAAAGTTTCATCCACGCGAAAATACTGATCTCACACAAAAAAGCTCTCGGAATGAGTAGTTGTTTACAATTCATTCGTGATAGCCTGCATAGCGCGGTAAGTTTCAATGTCACTTTTATGCGGGAATGAGCAAGGCATATAGAAAGTAGGGCCAGTGCGAGCCTCTGCGAAGCAGAGGTGACGCACTGGTACTATAATAAGCTATGATGATATACATAATTGCGGCTAGTTGTTTTCTAGCAATTATCTACTTATCACGTCTTGCCTCTGCATCATTGCTATCTTGTCTCCGTAAGGCTTCGGACAGACTTCACGCGATTTGATCGTCGCGACTGAATCGCGACGAGACGACTGTTACAACATCATTCCATGCCGATCAACTTGCATTTCGGTTGTGATACTTTCCAGCCCGAACTTTTTGAATGTGAAATGAAAATGAATGGAAATGTCGGCGATTGAGTCGCGACGATCAAATCGCGTGAAGCCTGTCCGGGGCCTAAAGGAGAATGTAAAGAATAGATAACTGAGTGCACCTGCAGTGGGGTGCAGCAGGAATCATAATAAGAACAAACTTACACTAACTATTTTTTCAAGATTTTCTCAGCGAAATGTGTTGCCTGTTCAACAGAGGTGGGGTCGCGAAGACATCAGCTGAAGAATTATTTCTTAGTAGCGAGTGATCTAACACAGTTTCGGCTCTGTATGATGCATTGCTTAAATTCCTCTCCGATCCTCTTTCGTCTTCCATGCACACTCTCTTCTTGCAGTTCACATCGGATCACCTCTAGCCTATCTCAATACAAGGCTTGTAGCTTGACCTTGTTGGCTTGAAATGTCAATGACTACAGAGCTATATTTTCGATGAATTCATAATCATAATAGCTGGCTTACTCGGCTCCGCTCGGCCCTGTCAATAGACTATTAAAGGCTCATCCCTATCCCTGTACAACCTTTCCCTGTGCCCACTTCTATAATACATGCCAATTCTCTATTCTAACTGTGTTAGTAGTCAGCATGCTCATTTATCCCCCGTGCCGATTCTCAACCTCGTAGCTCGAACATCGAAAAAAAGCGATAAAATCTATGGAAAATAATGGATAACAAGAAGGAAGAATGTCGTTTATGATGGTAACAGGCTGGAGGAGCTCATATCAAGTTTGACTGGCCCATCGAGGAGGACCCAACGTACGACTACGACCGGCTTCTGAAAGGATTGCGAGCCTGCGGAGAGTGCGCCTCAGTGACTTCCGAGAAGAACGTGGAATGCATTTCGAAGACCACCAAGGAAATGCTCGAAAGAAGAAGATTTCTGAGGCAGGATCCGAATGCAACCCATCTCGAGCGACTGATAGCCAACGCCAGTTGCAGAAAAGCTTTGCAAGAGGATCTCAGGAAGTACAGGCAAGCCAAGATACTGGAAGCAGCCGAAGGAAGACGAAGTCTCAAGAAGTGCCGAAGGGACCTCTGTGAATATCACGTAATGCTGGCTGCACTATTAAACAAAGACGGGACTCCCACTTCTTCCCGATACAAGATGGAATCTATCGCGAAGAACTTCTATATTAACCTCTTCCGCTCATCAACACCCGTGCCGATGCCCGTTGTTCCCACTGGAGAAGTACCACCACGAATTCTACCTGCTGAAGTGGCCAGCGATTCAGACCATGAAAACGTCCACGGCTCCAGGCAGACCATCTTTCCGTCGAATTTCTGCGAGTTGGAGGACAACGTCTACACGAAATTCTAGCGTCGCATTTGACATCTTACCTTCAGAAGGAGAAGATTCCCGGCCAGTGGAGAACGTCAAGAACCGTCCTTCTCTTTGAGAAGGGTGAACGGGAGGATCTTCGGAACTACCGTCCAGTATGCCTGCTGAGTATGCTGTACAAGCTTTTCACGAAGATTATCCTCGCTCGCATATCAAGGACACTGGATGAAGAACAAGCCGAATTTCACAAGGGATACAGTTGCCTGAACCACATTCAGACGGTTTCGAGGGTCATAAAGTCTGCCGGGAGTGCCGACTGCCTCTCGTCCTAACCTTCGTCGACTACGAGAAAGCCTTTGACAGCGTCAGAACCAACGCCATCCTGTCTGCGCTAGTCGATCAAGAAGTGGAACCAGCTTACGTGAGGACGTTAGCCGACTGTTACAAGGACTGTACAACGACGATGTAGCTGTTCCATCGCCCCCTGACCATCCCATTTGGGAAGGGGGTCCGGCAAGGCGACACAATTTCGCCAAAGCTGTTCACCGCGGCCTTGCAGTGGGTGATGAAGTCACTGGACTGGGACGAGAGAGGCATACGGGTTGATGGGAGATTCCTGTCGAACCTTCGTTTTGCGGACGACATCGTTCTCTTTTCGAGCAGTATCACTGAAGCAGAGACGATGCTGAAGGAACTGAACGAAGTAGGGAAGAAGAATTGCGAATCAATCGGAAGAAGACTTAGTTCATGAAGAACGCCCTTTGCGAATGCAGAAATGGAACTGGAAGGCAACCCTATCACGGAGACGTCTTCTTACGTGTATCTCGGACTTTCGATGAACATGGAGAACGACTTGAGGGGACGAACTTAACAGGAGAAGAAGAGCAGCTTGGGCCTTCGGCCCTCTGAAGGAAGCCACCGACCAACTGACGGACCCGGAGCTTCGTGCCCACTGGTTCGACTCAATCGTTCTCCCGGCGCTCTGTGCAGCTGAGACTTGGGCTGACACCGTCACCACTTCGAAAGCTTCAAGGACCACCCACAGAGCGCTAGAGCGTAGTCTTCTGAAGAAGACCCGACACAAACAACATCTCGTCGGACTTCGCAGTACGGATATGAGGAGAATGTCCCGTCTTCGTGCCAGCGGATTACGTTGCGAAAGCGAAGCATCGATGGGCCGGTCACATTATGAGAGGAACGGACGACAGATGGACACTAAAAACATCGGAGTGGATCTCTCTCGAAGCAAAAAACGTCCCCGAGGAAGACCTCCAACGTGGGCAGACGTGTTCGTGGAAAGGATGGACCAGCTGAGAAATCAGCTGGATACGATTTTTGCACCTGGAACTCGTGGACGCAGCCACCGACGTCCGCCAAGAAGATCGTGGATGTCTGAAGCGAGGGACAAGGAGAAATGGAAACTTCTGAGCTGGTGCCCGCACGTCACGTGAAGCCGGGCCATCTAAGTATCTAAATAGGTAAGTAAGTAATAATGGATAATTTCAAGAAACTAGTATTGCATTCGTAATCAGCATGCTCGATTACCCCCTGTGTCAGCTTCCAGCCCTGTAGCTCAAACTTTGCAAAAAAATCGATAAAATCGATAGAAGTAATGGATAATTTCAAAAACTAATATTGCATTCGTAATCGGCATGCTCGACTACCCCCCCCCCCTGTGCCAACTCCCAGTCCCGTAGCTGAAACTTTGCAAAACAACCGATTAAATCGATATTGATCGATAACGATAAGTAGCCTACGACACGCTTCTCGCACGAAGTATATGTGCGCCAAGTTTGGTCCAGATCGGTATAGAAATAAAATTTCTATTCCGCACATACGTACACATATACAGACATAAATACAGACAAACAGACATTCAGCTTTCTAGATAAGATAAAATCTGCTTGATGCAGAGACCTTTGCATTTGTGATAGAGACATGGATCAGTGAAGTTGCTCCAGAACCTGACTGAAAATAGATTTCGTTACTGTCAGCGGTGTATCCTCATTAATTTGGTTTGACTGGAGCAATAATAATGGCCGCAGCCTTAGCAAATGTGAGTATCATCTATTCTATGACTAGGAGACTCGAGACTGCATTGCGAACATTGTCTTAAGAAGTTTGAATTTGTTCTTTCCTGTTTCCAAGAGTGTCAAACCTGCACGAGATGAACAACAAGTATAAAGCTGCTAAATACCGATTAGGCTTGTTTAAACAATGTGTGTAATGCGGTATCGCGCCTAATAGTCATAGAATCTTATATATAAAGCTGAATGTCTGTTTGTATGTATGTCTGTCTGTATGTCTGTCTGTGTGTACGTATGTTCCGAATAGAAAATTCCATTTCTGAACCGATCCGGACCAAACTTGGCACACATACACTACGGGCCCCGGCGGGTGTCATAGGCTACTTTTCGTCATCGATCGATATCGATTTTATCGATTTTTTGCAAAATTTGAGCTACGGGGCTGGGAGTTGGCACAGGGGGGTAATCGAGCATGCTAATTACGAAGACAACATTAGTTTTTGAAATCGTGCATTACTTTTATCGATTTTATCGATTTTTTTGCAAAGTTTGAGCTACGGGGCTGGGATTTGGCACAGGGGGGTAATCGAACATGCTGCAGCATGCTCGATTACACCCCCTGCCAAATTCCAGCCCCCTAGCTCAAATTTTGCAAAAAATCGATAAAATCGACATCAATCGATAACGAAAAGTGGACTGTGACACCCGCCGGGGCCCGAAGTGTATGTGTGCCAAGTTTGGTTCGGATCGGTTAAGAAATGGAATTTTCTATTCGGAACATACGGCGGAGCCGGGTATGCCAGCTAGTGAATTATAAAACAATCTCTTTTATCTTTAGCCAATGTTCATCTGGGTGATTTTCGCAATCTAAGAGATTCCAGGACAGTTATTTGTCGAAGTAAAGTATTACTGGCGCCTACGATACACGAAGTCAAACTGGTGATCGGGCTCCTGTCTATTGGAGAATATGGTACGATCTGGCAAGTTTGACCATTTCAGGCACGGCGGCCGGGCACCAGAGGCCGATCTCGACGTCGGGATTCGCTGTCCGACGGTGCCCGACATGGCCAAACTTGCCAGATCGGGCCACATTCTGAAGTTTGATGAGTCACGGAATCCCCGCTCTCACCTGTCCAGGCACTCGATAATGGCCCGAACAGCGAGTGGGAAATTGATAAATACCGCCCTGGATACCTTATAACTTGAATGTTTGTTGTTAGATAACCTGTTTCAACGTCGCTTGCAAGCACTAGCACGGAGGTTCCCATTTGTTCCTTCATTTTTGACATCCATAACCTATTTGACTAGTCTCTGTTTTGCGTCAAGATCCAGGTGAAGTCGTATCCAGTTGATTCTCAAATGGTCCATCTTTTTCGCGCTGGCAGTGCTTTTGGCTGGAAGCCTTCACGCCGCCCTTCCTCTCACGACTCCGCCAACTTACACGAATTTTCCAGCGTATGCGCACATGAAGAGCCTCAAAAAAGCTCATTTTCCCTTTTTCATGCGCTGTATACCCACATATGGGTTCAGCATGACGAGAAGGCCGAAAACAGAGCAAAATTTAGCAGAGACACTGCCTTTGATATGTGAAGTCTGCGATGAAGAACAGTCTTCGTAAAAAGCCTTCAACGCACACTCAGCGACAGACAAAAGTAGTTCCAAATAGGTCCACCGACCAGATGTTGAGAGGCACGAAGATTTCGTATATTCGATGTCCTCTGTTTCGTAAAAGCTTAACGGAAAGGTGGTCTATTCTGGAGCCGTGGACGTCCTCGTTCTGGAATGCGATGCTTTGTACAGCAGAATTACCATTGGTGTTACTTCTCTAGTGCGAACAACAGGCGTCGACATGGAATCGATGAGCTTGAGAGCTTGTTCAGTATTCGTGGTGGAATCTAACTGTAAGTTAAGTTTGCGAAAAGAGAGTATTGTCTTTGTTCAGTGATGCTGCAGCGGTTTCGGCGTTCCGTCTTCCTTTAGCTGCCTGCAATATCTTCGCTTGTCTGTACTCTCAAGTTCAGGAACTGGAATTTTATTCAAAACTTGCCTTAAGGCTTTTCTTCTTTCCAATGTTCCATTATATTCAAAATGCGCTTTAAGTTTTTTTTTCTACAAGTCGTTGAAATAAACTTTTCACAGGCAAGGTTACTTCTTCTCTTTAATTTCAAACCATTTTTTCCAGCTCTAAACAGCAGTTTGACTGAAAAGAGGTCTTCCGAAGTGGAAGGTGCAACGGGTCAGTGATAGAATAAGCGATAGCAGCATGCAAAAAGACAGGAACAATGGATGAACGAACAACAAAGCTAAATCAACGTTTCTTGACGAGATACTTTCATCATAAATGATGAGGAACCCAGCCTCACCTGAGTCGCACCCTTCCGCCTACATAGTTCTCTCTCATAAAGCTATGACTGTTATCTGATGTGTTACCGCGGCCCAAGAGGATTATAAAGAGGGTTTCTGAATACTGCTTTGACTTTGTGAGTGCTATGCCCTGACCAAGCCATCTACCATTCAAGTACGGTAAATGTGCCAGGGTAATTTGATAAGATAAAAGCCCTACTTTGATAAGCGGCTAGCCCCCGCGAGTCACTGTAGGAAGCTACACACAATCAGTAGCCTCTCTTTGGAGTAGAACGCATTTGGCGCATGCTCCAGAGGATGTTAAATAAACTGAATCCTGCATCCTTTGTCGGGGATGCAGAACGAGGCAATCTCTAAGGCGAGTCGTCCCAGACGAGTCACGCGCCTCCAGCAACCGCCTTTTCTCGATCTTTTCCCTACCCGGATGGTTTTACTGCTTACATATGATAGTAATCAGACACTGAAAGTTACTAATTTGAGCCTTAAGGTGATGTTTGTTTGTGTTGGTGTTTTATGCTCCTGTGGGGAAGACCGCAGTCAAACTCGTAGTCGCGATTTTAAGAATGACCTATTAGGCTGGAAACTAAGTTGTGCAACCACTTTCATAACTTTACTCTCTTTGGATGTGGGGCACTCAAACTTTGGCAATATGTAGAGCATAATGTGTCTGCACCCATAACGGAGAAGTACTTTGTGTCAATCTATCGCAGAAACCAGGCTTCATATCGCTTTCAAGTAGTAGATTAAGAAGTGTTGCCAAACTTTCAATCACCGCCTTTCCCTCCTTGAATGCTTCAACTCCACCGATCATCACAAAACCAAAACAAGTTGAGGTAAGCTCATACACCTACTGTAGAATCTTCGAGGGTTGTGCTAACATATTACATGAAGTTTTTCTGAAAAACTCTTCAGAGATAAAGATAATGGGGGCACAACCCCTCAAAAGGTCAGGCTATTCTGTATTTCAACAGAATTTCTTCATTGTATTATGTTTTGTCTAGCAAAGCATTTCGGGAAGTGATTTTGCATTGCTTATGTTTTCCTTAGCCAACATTATGTTATTTGATTACTCGAATTCCACATAGTTAGTTTGATATATAAGCCCCCTGTTATACGTAATAAACACCTTCAAGCCCGATCAGTGTGCAAATGGCGACCACGGCACCTTAGAATGGACAATGCCATTCTTGAGCACTCGAGCCCCAGTATGTTCTTCCATGTCTCTTCCTGAACCCAATCGTCATTCGTTCAACATGGCATTCAACAGTGGAAACACACATCGTCAAGTCAGCATCACAAAGAAGAGGCTCCTCCACCTGTGTGAGCTGATCAAACAAATCTTCGATAACTACGACATTGATGAGAATGAACCTCAGTTCACCATTTGAGAAATGATGAGCTTCTAGACTTCAGAACTGACATAGCCGAACAACGATCACAGCTGCACAACGCCTATGTGAAAATCCGAAAACTAGATGAAGACTGGTCAATCGCTCGCTCATACGATACTGCTGAAGAAGAAAATTTCAATGAGTTTGTGAAGAAATACGGTGATTACGCCACTGCCGTCCAAAACGCTGTTGACCTACTAGAAAAAATCGACATTGTGCTCAACTCCTACGACAAGGAACTACTCCGACGACACCTCCCTTTACCTCCTTAAAATGAAGAACGAGTAACGTATGCGCACACACCTAACCAGCCAAAGGAGCGTACAAGCATAATACCACCGAATCTACGATGGACTTCGTAAACGCATTAATTCTCAGCAGATCAGAACTCCCAATTTTTGACGGTGACTTACTCAGATATCCTGAGTTTATGCTCTACAGCACTAATTGGATGTAAACGGGATCTCGATGACGCAACAAAATTTTCTCTCCTGAAATCTTGAAAGGACGAGCACTCCAACTGATCCATGGATTGGCACTAACAGCTCAAAATTACAACATTGCGTTGGATATACTCAAGTCTCGCTATGATGACAAGATGACAATACGCCATATCCTTTATACTCAACTTGCCAATTTACCCCATTGACAAGGCAGTTTTGTTCCTACGAAGACGATAGAAAAGAAGTAGCTTTGGGTGCAATTCTACTCAAAAGTTGCCACGTTATGTACGCAGTATGATTTACGACAGAGCGGGACAATCACACAGCCTCACTCCAACGGAGCTACTTCAAACTCTGACGAATATCGTTCACAAGGAAGCAACCCTTTGCGAAAAAGAATTTCACAACAAGGGAGATAACAAATTTGAAGACAACTACTTTGCAGCACATCAAAAATCAACACCTTCGAATTTGCAGAAAAGATTTCGACCATTTGCAAACAAAGCAGAACACTACAACACTCAAGCGCAAGCAAAGGCCATGCTCTTTCTGCGATTCATACTAACACACCGCTCTTCACTGTGATGCATACCAATCAAGACAAGAGAGGCTGAAGTAAAAGAAAAACGACTCTGCTTCAACTGCCTTTCACAGCCCGGGAGGCTATATCCAGTTTCTACTCGAAGGAGAACTCTACTACATTGAAGACGGTCCAATTCTACTCGAAAGGACATCGATACATTTTCAGCGAAAGCAGCTCCATGTTACTTTGGAAATGTTGTAAAACACATCAAAACTCCATTTAACTTTGTCGCAGAGTCATTTTCCTCATTTGCACATTTCAAATTTTTCTTCCTTTTGATTCTTTTCTTGTCCTTATGTCATTTTTGACTTCTATCATCCAGAAATTCTTGTGACGCTAAACGCAAAGAAAAGTATAGGCGCCGTAAAACCTAATTGCCCGCGCCCTGCCTTGAACACTAGCGTAAGCGGGCGGTCGTGAACGACTGTCGGCTTTCACTATATTCCAAGAAATCTTTCTTTAACTTCATGTTGTTCTCGTCAACAAGGTATATCTTGACGAAAGCTCCCTTCAAAAGTTTACAAAAATATGTGTGAAAAGGGTGCGCGCTCACTGTCGCTCGCAAAAGCCTGTAGCGCTTTGAGACCAGTCGTTTCCAGCCTCGCCGCGCGTTGGTGTTCAAAGCGACGCGTGGGCAATTGGATTTTACGGGGCCTGTAACTAAATTTCCCGTTGTTGGGAGTATTCTGTATTTCTACAAATTTTCTTCATTGTATTATGTTTTGTCTAGCAAAGCATTTCGGGAAGTGATTCAGCACTGCTTATGTTTTCCTTAGCCAACATTATGTTATTTGATTACTCAAATTCCACATAGTTAGTTTGAATATATAAGCCATCTGTTATACGTAATAAACACCTTCAAGCCCAATCAGTGTGCAAACAGGCTGCCTGAGCTTTTATAGCCTTGTGCCTGACCCCCTTAACCCTTTCGAACCTGACTTTTTTCCGAGTAAGCAAAGAATCCTCACTCTCACTGTTTTATACTAACTACCGTATGAATAACCTCACGAGTTTGGAGTTTGGATTTCTGCTTGATTTTTGAATTTCTGGTTTTGCGTCTATTTTGGATTTTCAAATCTCATCGATACATGTGGACCCGCCAACTATCAGCAGTTGCACTTTCTCAACATTGTACTCGAACATTCTGATAATATTAGGGTTATCTTTTGGCTAATAAACGAGATCCTGAAACGGTGCTGATGGCGCGAAATATTGACTGGTTACAATCCACTTGTGCACAGAAATGTATACACTGCAGACAGGAAAACAAATGAACACGCGGTTTCAAAGCTACATTTGGAAGACAAAGGCTATATGAGGCGTTCTATAGCTATGAGTAGTAAAATGGTTTTCTTGCAGCAGTACAGCTTGTCTTTGAATTGATAATGGCTATTGCCACCACCAGGTCCGAATAGGTTAACATGTCATCAAAATCCAGAAATCGCTCCATTCCTGGTATGAATATTGAGCTCATTTTCTTCAAAAATTAAATGGTTCCTGCAGTTCGATTATTTGGCGAAAATTTCGTAATATTAGGTCGTTCCGAAAGTTCTTTCCATTTTTTCAACCTATCATAAAAACAGGCGGAATGAAGGTAAGGAACCGCTTTGGGCACTGTCCGACGCAGCTTTTCTTCCTCTTTCTAGCAGTCATATTCCCATGTCGGTTACCCTTGTAATCACTGAAATAATGGCCGAAATTTCGCACCATGGTTTTTACCATGTCCAAATTTGGCAATTTTTCACAATCTTCTTTTTTGACTTTTACGAAAGCTGTGATAACAGTCAGATAGAGTAGACAAAGTGCAATTTAATGTAATTTTTCGGCATCTATACCTAGCCCTAAAACTTTCTTAGATTTATTTTTCTGATGCTATCAAATTCCGCTTTTGGGAATGCCAAGAGCCATGGAACATAAGACGGCGCGCAACTAAGGTGTCATTCGATGCAGATTTTCCCTCTCTTTCTAACGAATGTGTTTTCTTTCCAATTTGTGGGGTCATTGGCGATAAAGTTTCCATAATTCTTGATTATGAACCCGCCTCAGCCTGTACACGTAAAGTGCGAAACCTTATATTTCCAGACGGTAAACGCTCAGTTGCTTTGCAAAAATTCTGGATAATCGTAACTGACTTTTGAAAGCTTTGAAATCCGTAGATTTGCCAGGTGTTTGGGGCGTTTCTTTATTTTGGGACTTTGCAAAAAAGAAGACTTTTGGAAAAATTATCTCAAAAAATACTGAAAAACCAGCTGGATATGCCAAAAAATTGCATTGAATTGCACTTTGTTTACTCTATCTGACTGTTATCAAAGCTTACCCAAAAGTCAAAAAAGAAGATTGTGAAAAATTGCCAAATTTGGACATCGTAAAAACCATGAATTCAAAAGCTCGGCGATTATCTCAGTGATCACAGGAGTAAGCGACATGGGAATATGACAGCTAGAAAGAGAAAGAAGCGCTGCGTCGGACAATGCCTAAAGCGTTTCCCTACCTTCATTCCACGTGTTTTTATGATAGGTTGGAAAAACGGAAAGAACTTTCGGAACGGCCTAATATAAACGTTGTAATGTAAGCAACGCCACTACGCTCGGGGATTGTTCCTAGTAGTTTCCACGTAGTGCTTGGCAGCTATTTTATGCGCTTAAAAATCTGCTCTTTGGAATGGTGACAAAAACAACGTAGACAACGTCGCCGAATCAGAGACACGGGGACGGAGAAATATCTGAAGATCGCATTATAGAGCAATTTCCCTCTAACGTGGGCTCTGCCCCCCAAGAAAGGTTATTCTTTTTTCGGTGCCAGCATTGGGGAAACAGTGTGAATAGCAAAAAAGAGATGTCTCCTATCAACGTCTTCACTTCTTATGGAGAAGAAGCTCAAACAGCCATCTTCTTGAGGTTTTTTTTTACAGACCATCGAACGTACATATCTAAAACCCATAGTTTATCATGAGATCCATGGCGCTGTTTCATTGCTATATTAGAATAATCCACTTTTTTCTGATTATTAGACGTTTATCAGTAAGTCTGTGTGCAAAATCTGTAACATGGACTGCTTTTATAACCGCTTATTCACGTTATAAGAGCTCATTAGTCCTTTACCTCGTTAGAGCCTCTGCGAATCTTGCGTTTTCGATATTGGACTATCGCCAGTTAACTCAAAAGTACACAACTTTCCTCATAATGTTAACGATATACTTGGAATTATCGCTTATTTGTAGCACCACAATAAAGACAAGTTGTAGTGTTCATTTTCTTCTGAGTTTTCATTTCTTCATCAGGAGATCTCGTTTAGGAATGAGTTCCAAATATACTAACTTTCATTCTAATAAGAACGAAAATACAATTTCGTCCAGGAATTTTTGACTGCATTTGGCTAGGCTTCAAAGAATCACATGCCTTGCCATTTAGATAGATGGGAGTCTTCGACGAGATTTTTAACAAAGGTGGTCAAATCTAAAAAAAAGAGCTTGTAAAATTTAGGTTTATAAAAACTAATGAACCTTCATCAGCCTATCGTTTCATCGCAGCAATTTTTTGATATTTTGTAACAGAATAAGCGGCCAAAACTGCGCAGAAAGTATCAAAAGTTTCCAAGAAATTAGAAAAAATATCCGTGTTTCTAAATTCAAGTTTTGCCTGTGCAAAAGCAATTGTTGTACTTATTACGAAAGCGCGGATAATTGGTTAAGTTTTCCAAAATAGTTTTCTAAATTCAGAATGCGGTTCATACCGGTCATTCTCTTTCTCGGCTTAACCAGAGGCGAAGATGCTCGGATTGACTGTCATCCAGAGCCAGGGGCCTACAAAGAAGTGTGTGAAAGTAGAGATTGCATCTGGAAAGAGAGCTCAGCAGCGGTAGGCTCATGTGAAGAAAAGCATACAAAAAAATAAAAATGATTTATATACAGGAAGGAGTACCATACTGTTTTATGAAAAATGGTATCGGTTACAGATATTCGACACAAACAAAGGAGGTGAGCAAAAAAGTCATTTTTTTTGAGGCTTTGAATGTAAATAATCAGGTAATAACACTCACCAAAAACAACGGGCCTAAGAATCCATGGGGAGAAGATATCAAGCAGATTTACTTTGCCCACAACTACTTTGGAAAAACACTCAATGTTAAACTTTATGTTCCTGGAAGGTAAAACTCCCACGGCATTCCAGTGTATTGCCAAGTGATTTTATTTCTCGGTAGATTCGAACCACCTGTTGATCTACCACGTGAACCATCCAAGTCAAATGATGATCTACAGGTAGAGCAAAACTTTTGATCTCAACGAAAGTTTTAAGCAGTATTAAGATTTTTCCAGCTTGCCACATACACCCACAATGATCCATTTTACTTCACTGTTTCGCGAAAATCCACTCAAACAACGCTGTTTGACAGTTCAGCAGGTGCGTAAAACGATTTTATACAATTTGGATAGTTCTATGTTTCCACAATACAATAAATCTCTAAGTATACGGTAATTAGTGGTGGGAATCAATTTGCAGGACAAATTTGGGACTTCTAGGATGAAATTGTTCTTTGCAAATTGGCAAGTAGTACTCAAGACAGGTTCGAGAATGCCTTCCGTTTTTGCCTTCTGCTATCGGAAGTGTTTTCCACTGGGAGGGGTTCTGAACAAGTATCCAAGCTCCAACCGTACAGTTACAAAGGGATCCGTCGTACTTCGCCGAGAAAAGCCCAAAATCGCTCAAAAGAGCCCAAAAAAGCCTCAGAAAGAGCCGGAAGAACGCCAGCTTCTGCGCGCGTTTGGCGCTAAGGCATGTTTGTTGATTTTGCAACAGTCTTTTTGATTCATTTCCTGTCGTCTGCACAACAAATAATGTCAGAATTTTACCAAAAGTTCGCTTCTGCGTTCCGGCTCCTTCTGGCACTTTCGGGCTTGAGCGCTTTTGGGCTTTTTGGACGCTTTTGGGCTTTTCTCGGCGAAGTATGACGGGTCTCTAACAGTTTGCAGCATACCCTTCGCACCAAATGAATCAGATTATTCTAAGCAGCAACCAAATAGCCTCTCGTAAAATATCAAAAAAATCTGTATTAAATGAGCTCTTAGCACGTCCAACCCGTTTCGAGTTTGGCGGTGAATATAATCCTATACTATGTATCAAATAATGAAATGCGAATTATGCTTGTTTTCAAAGTGTAAACTTTAAAGACTTTAAAAAAGAATATGCTATCTCAGATAGAGGTAACTCAACAATATTAGCTTCGCTCTGTGACCAGGAGGGCATCAGTTCCATAGTTCACTTCAAAGTACTCAAATAGAAATTGGATGTTATCAGAAAAGCGGTCGGTGGTCAACGTATTATATTTCACCTTGTGATCTCATAATATAGTTATCAGTTAATTCTTCATTTGCTTGAAGATAATCTCATTGCTTATAAGTTATTATAAGATTAATGTAAGCAGCAACCAAATAGCAACCAAGGCAAAGCGACTTTTTGATTGTAATCAGAGAAGCCATTCAGCAAAAAAAGTGAACAGAGGCAGAGAGTAATCAAAGAAGCTTCATATTCGAAATAAATGAGAAAATTGCTTTACATTGGCGTGGGAAAAGGAGACTGCTCCAGGGTCGTTTTTAAATTAACTTAGTCTATGCCACTGTGACATGGGCACATCATGGGCCCTTTTGCGGGCCAATCATGACCTCGGTTACGCCGCGCTGATTGCTCCTCTCGGAATATGTACGGTATGTGCGCAAGTATAGGAATGGAAAATTGGAATCTTGGAATAAATAATAAATAAACAAAAATAATGAATTGAAATAACAATAAATAGTAATGGATTGTTATTGAAATAGATATTCAAGCAAATTGATAATAATGATTGAGCTTTCTTGCAGGTGGACTGATTTTCTCTGATAAGTTTATTCAAATTGTGACTAAGCTGCCCTCAGAAGCAATGTACGGATGGGGAGAAAATATTCATCCTTCACTAAAGGTGGGAGCCACTTTGTGAAGAAATGAACCTGAATTCTTACCATGTTTAGCATAATTTCAAACGCTACACGACGTGGGCAATGCTTGCAAGAGATGAACCACCAAGTTCGAACCATATTGAAACGAAGAATCTCTACGGTATGTAGAAATATGTCGAACTGAAAGCGTATTCAACATTGATATGATTGGCTTAGGAGTTCATCCGTTTTACATGGTTTTGGAACCAGATGGCAAAGCCCATGGAGTGTTGATTTTGAATAGCAATGCACAGGTAACTTTAAGGTGTTATAGTCACACAAGTTATTGGCAAAACCACTTTTGGACAAATAAACAGTACAAAAAAATTTTTTTCAAGTAATTTGTGCAACCTTCTGTCAATATTTTTTTCCAAAAGCTAGCTTTTGCAGCTCCCTTTATGTGCAGAATAACAGTTGCCCTTATTGCGAGAGTAAAAACAAAAAATACTAATTTTCGTATTAATACATTCAGGAGGTCACAACTGCACCAGGACCCACTCTCATCTACCGCACCATTGGAGGCAATCTCGACATGTATTTCTTCCCAGGTCCCACTCCACAAGAAGTCACCGAACAATATCTGGCACTAGTGGGAAGGCCTGTCTTGCCAGCTTATTGGGGACTGGGCTACCAAGTATGTTCGGTAACAAATTGCCAAAGCCATCTCAAAACAGTATTTTAGATATCACGTTATGGCTATAAGGATCTAGAAGAGCTGAAGTGGATAATTGAGAGAAATGTTGCAGCAGGAGTCCCTCTGGATACAGCAGTGGTGGACATAGATTACATGGACAGATACAAAGATTTTACCACTGGCGAGGTTTGCTTTAAACTTACTCTAATCGAACTTTGAAAATGAGAATGATTGGCGCAACCTTAACTAATCATTAGTTAAAGTCGCGTCAATCATTTTCATGGCTCCAAAATATTGTATTTTGATGTTAAGGTTGAAAATCAAGAAGTAGATTTAAGCATTATTATACCGCCGTTGGTCCAAAAGCAGCTCCTTCAAGAAATTTTTTCCAAAAAAATTTTGAAGGCGCTTAGTCTTCGTTGAGCTTTACTAGAAAAGTTGCGGGATGCTTCTCAGACTTCTGTAGGTACATAACATTGAATATTGAGAAGAGGAGGACGTGACTCAACGGAATAATTTTCTCTAGAGTCAACTTGACTGAAAAATGTGAAAAAAATCAACTTTTACTAGTCACAAAAAAGTAGTACAATTTTGAAGCTCATGTAGGCTACAAGCAAAATTCTTGCGCTTATTTTCGATTAGTTACAGAAGTGGCAAGGACTCCCTAAATACACCGAAAGTCTGCACAAACGAGGAATGAAGCTTATTCCCATCTTCGATGTCGGAATACAAGTCGATGATGATGCCTTCAGAAGGGCAAAGGAAAAGGTGAGTATACGGTAGTTCGAGTGCCCTTCGGTGAGATGAAAGGACTGCTACAGGGTGCACGATTTATTGAATGGGAGCGATTCAATCAAGTCCCCAAGGACATTCAAGTAAATGGCTTTCGTCTAGTATATATCAATTACATAATGAGAGAGTTTTAGAACCTCTACCCAATGGCAAAAGATACAAAAATCATGCTGAGCGTTGTATGGCCAGATGCGCACATTGCATTCCCTGACTTTTTCGAACCAACAAACAATACCGTGAACTGGTGGATTGACGAGTTTGTAGATTACCATAAAAAAGTAAGTACAGTATCCCACAGTAATTCCGATTGCAAAGCGCTGTTTGAGTTGCCATATGACGGTATCTGGATTGATATGAATGAACCAGCAGCATTTGGCACTAACGACGAACACCCGTGGTATTTTGATAATCCAGACCATCCAAATATAGCTGCACTCAAATGTCCAGTTGATCCATCAAGGCCGGATTCGGAATGGGATATGCCACCATACCAAACACATGCAGTATGGCGATATGGCTGGGTATGTGTGGATTCTTTTGGTAAACACTTCAAGAATCATTGTGCTGCACCTTCGCGAGCCAAGCTTCAAATTCTAGGGCACCTATCTATCCTCCAAAACGATGTGTATGTGCGCATTACAAGGTGATGGAAAGTATCGTCACTATGATGTGAAAAACATCTACGGTTGGAGTGAGGCGAAAGCGACACTGAAAGCTCAGTACAAGGCTACAGGGAAGAGAGGAGTCGTGATCTCAAGGTAGAAATGATTTTGTAAATTTGCATAAATTGTTTGCGAGTAGAAGAAAAGGAGCCTTTGTTCTCTTCATGCAGAAATCGGACTTTTAGTATAGGCGGTTCGCCTCACGCAGGGATAGCACGCCTTTGCGGACTTGCCGGCGTCTCTTCTTGTCAAGCGCTCTTTACTATCTCCTACCATCTCTCGTCTCTCTCATCAAGTACTACCTCAATCGGACGCAACCGCAATCTCTGCGTGCGGTGATTAACAGTCTGTCTCAACTCAGAGTCTCACCATGGCTCGCGGCGTATCGCGAAGGCAGCTGCCTTACATCTGAGGGGGCCCATGTCAGCGCCTCGTCACTCTTCTTTAGCTGGCAAAATGCCAGCGCCATACGTTCGCATAGGTGCTGGCGCAGCGGAGCTCTGCTTCACATAAAATGCTTTCGCTTTGAAACAGTGTATACCATCCTACATTCATCTGACCTATGAGTGTGAGCAAACCTTGCAACGAAATTTGAAAGCAAGATTTATAAAGAATTACTGCAAAAAACACATTTTTTCTACTAATTTAACTCTCTTCGTATCGAACAGACTATTGTGACTGTTCCAAAATGCCGACACTATGAACAGGTAATTATCAGATGCATTTCATTTTATTCTATTTTATCTAGTGCACAAAGTGCCATTCTATGAAACAGAAAGTCAGAACAACGACGCTGAATTCAAGTTATAATCATAACACTTTAATTGCATTGAACACATTTTTCAAAAGCTTTTCATCCATTACATTGTCCAAACAACCAAAGTAATTGTTTTGAAGAAATAATGAATCAATTCTCAGGTCTACGTTCCCTTCTAACGGACGATATGCAGGGCATTGGTTGGGCGACAATAGCGCCACATGGGCAGATCTTCAATCAGCTGTGATTGGTGCACAAGAATTCAATATCTTTGGTATCCCGTATGTCAACTTTCATAAAATGTTTGGAAGGTCATTGAATGTGAGAATTGTGATGCTCAGGTACGTCGGCTCTGATATGTGCGGATTTGCTGGCGAATCAAACGAAGAATTGTGTCTGAGATGGCAACAAATGGGAGCATTCCATACATTCATGAGGTATGTTGTTTTGGAAAATACCTCCATATACATCGCAAAAAAAAAGAATAAAAAGTGCAATTGGTAGAAAGGAAGTCAATCCATATTTTAGGAACCATAACAGCCTCTATTTGCCACCACAAGATCCTGCACAATGGAGATCGGTCACTGATGCTACCATCAAAGCCAATCTCTTCCGATATTCTTATCTACCGTATCTATACAGGTGAGAAGATACGGTATCATCCTCAAGGCTGAACCAGCTCCCATATTTTTCAGCTTACATTTCGAAGCTTCACTATATGGCCGGACAGTTATTCGACCTCTGTTCTACGAATATCCAGAAGACAGCAGAACTCACGATTTAGGCAGTGAATTCCTTTGGGGTAGTTCTATGCTCATAGCCCCTGTCCTTTATCAGGTTTGCTTGGCAGCAAGTTAATTTTTGAGCTCAGAAAATCGCAAAAATTCCAGGGTGCGAGGAGTGTAAATGCTTATCTACCCAAGAGCGACTGGTATTCGCTATTTGACCATGAATACGGTCAACTATTTGAAAAAGGCGATCACACCTTCCCCGCACCGTGGACTTCTCTAATTCCAGTTCTGGTCAAAGGTGCGGATTTTAGTAATTGAACTCACACTTCAAATGAGATGATTATAGCCGGCTCGATATTGCCTCGTCAAGCGCCAAATGTCACAACGGAGTACACTCGTAAAAACGCTTTCGAGCTGTTAATTGCCCCTATCAAAAATAATGGTACGTTTTGCGACTTCTTTCATACGGCAAGAGAGTGGCCCAAAATCTTGATCCGCAGTAAGTACGCGGGAAGTTTGAATATTTGACTCTAAAATCACCTAATTTCCATAAAAATTGCAAAGTGTATGCTGCGTAGTACTCGAGAGCTCTTCAAGAGCTCTGAAAGATGATTCTAAAATGTTGAACTTACTGACGAGAAAAGCAAAAGAGGAAAATGCCTCAACGGTGCTGTGCAGTGTTCGCTGATCAAACTCCGAAAACATTAGATTTGGTCAACAAGTCTTATGCTTACAAAGCCTTAATAACATACATAACTCTTTCCTTTTCCAGTCATGCACAATCACATGATTTTTATGAATCAATTCTTGATTGTAAGGTTTTAGATTAGTAAACATCCTAAAACCCTTTTTTCAAAGCGTCCGAACTACTCAATTCACATATAACTTACAAATACTACCATAATTCCTAGAATGAAAGCAATATCGTAATTGGGAGTCACATAAAGATTGAAAATGCGTCCGAAATGAAAACATATGTGGGGTAATGCAATTGCTTGTTTGGAATCTTATGAGTTTGTACCTATGAATGACAATTTATTTAAATTGTCAGGAACATATTTTGCTGTCAAAAGCCGTAATTATCTGACTTAGCTGGCTCAATGAAGGAATGAGCTAACCTAATTCATTTTGAGGATATGGCCATGCCTCTGGTTTCCTCTACTGGGACGATGGCGACAGCATTGTCGATTCATTCGCAAAGCATCCCTACTATCATTGGACGTTCAGCTACAGTAGCTCAGATGTGGTTTCCAACCTAGTAATAACAACTCATCGTAAAGCAGTAAGTTATTAAAAAAAGAGATATATCAGCTTCTCATGGAAATTTTCAGAGCAACTTGAAAATTCCAACGCTTGATAGACTGGAAATCTTCAACTACAATACCGAACCCGATTTCAACAGTTTCACGCTGAATGGAAAGAAGGTTGGAAAGAATTTCTTGCATGAATAAAATTCAGAAATAGCACCACCGAGGTTTTGTGTAGTGAATACTGTAGGTGTGATGTGAAACGGAGAAAAGCGCAGTCATTGGAAGGACACGGAGCTTTTCAAGAATATGTATGATAAATAGATAATTATTTCTTACAATTCTAATATATGATTCGCAACTTAGCAAGCTAAACAAAGCATTCAAAAACTCTCTTTGGTAATAACCATCAGTTGAGATCTTTTTTTGTGAAAAGCTAGTCATAGCATACATAGCTCTGGCTTGTAGTAAATCACAGTTTTCGCTCAAGATCAAAAAATTTTCTCAATTTGTGCCACGGAGCTTCAACGGGCGATTGTTTGTTGGCCTTAAATGTGCAGAAGAGGTAATTCTTAAAAAAGATTGGTCATCACTTCTGCTACAGATAACTTATTGATAGCGAAGGCCAAATTATCGTAGTTTTGATTTCAGAAATGAGGTGATTCAAAGCATGAAAGGATATTACATTTTCTCAGAATTCTTCTCATTTGCAACTGTTGAGTCTAACTCGCTCAAAATATTTGAATCTAACTCAAATTCTGCTTTGAGTTAGATTCGAAATCGCTTCATCCTTAGCGTTGTAGTCTTCTCAAAGTAATTTTAAACTCTCAGGTCAATGTAGATAAGGCTGCCTCACACTATGACCAGAATACAAAGATCTTATACATCTCGACGAAGAATCTCATCGACATATCAATCGGATCAACAAATACTTTATCGTGGAAAAATAAAATTATGATGGGTTCGCAGGTGGGTACGCCTATGATAATATTACGAAGAATTTCTACAATTAGTATATCTCCTATACTATACGACCTATATCATATTCAGCCTTCAATTTTCAAAATGAAATAAATTTTTGAGCATTTGTAGGAGGAGGAAGTACGTTTTGACTGTCATCCAGAGCCTGATGCTAATGAATGGAAATGTAATCAAAGGAACTGTATATGGAAATCGAGTTATGCTTACGTACGTTGTGCACGACGTCATCACACTGATTCCGTACATATCTCTACAACGATATCTTCTTTCAGGAAGGAGTTCCTTGGTGTTACATGAAACCAGGAATTGGTTACAAAATCTCGTCATCGACTGGGACGGTGAGATTGCGATTGCATTTACAATTATTTTGCTTCCAACTGCAACTTAGACGGCTGTGTTAGAGAAGAACAACGGACCAAAGAATCCGTGGGGAGGTGACATAAAGAAGCTCACACTGACTTCAAGCCACATCGGAAAAACCCTAAATGTCAAGATCGGTGTGGAAGGACGGTAGGGACCCTCTCCCACCTTCTTACAACTTTTTAAGGTCAAGGTATAGAAGACGGATATTTTCAGATATGAGCCACCACTGGATCTCCCTCGCAATCCTTCGGAGGGAGGCGATAATTTGCAGGTAATCGCGTTAGCTGATTTTTAACTTCTACTTTTCGCCTCAGAATGCACCTAGCATTGGTAAAATATCTCTGAAGCAGTAGGTAGAATTTCTATGAAAAACTCAAATCTGCTCTGATTTTATAGAACAAATTTATTTTACCTTTTTGCTGCAGAACGTTGCAGCATGGAGCACCTTTTTATTCTTGGTGATTATTTGGCCTTTTTTCATCGGCTTCATACTGGGGAGCTTCTAAAGCCTCTATAAAAACTCATCAGAAACCCAAAGTCATAGCAGTTTTGCCATTGTCAAGCTCTATTTATGAAATCAGGGCCAACTTCAAACTCCAAGCACTTCCTGTAAATTTTGAAGCCTCCAAAAACAGTGGCAACTTGTGCCACTGCTGAAAATTAGAAAAATAAAAGGGAAGTCAAGATACTTGTAACCTATTTGATAGGTGTGGATGGGAATATTATGAGGAAAAGTGATGAAATCAATATCGAGTGATGATGTCGCACTCTCTTTTATATAATCTTTGATAAACTTGCATTTTCTATTCTGAACTGATGAAAATAATTCCAGCTGAACATGCATACTGTAGATGGTTTGGGTGTGGACTACTTCTATTTCACAGTGACTCGAGAATCTAACAAGGAAGTCCTCTTTGATACTTCCTTAGGTAAATTCACATTCTTGCTAGCAGAAAAAAAAATGATGGAATGCAACCTTTCATAATTTAGGTGGTTTAATCTTCTCTGATCAATTCATACAAATCGCCACGAGACTACCATCAAAGGCAATGTACGGATGGGGAGAAAATAGTCATCCAACATTCAAGGTCGGGATTAGCCTCTGATAACCAGGTCCCTCAAACTTTTATTTTAGCATCGATTCGATCGTTACACAACTTGGGCAATGTTTGCGAGAGACGAACCGCCTTACTATGAAGGATTTACCACTAAAAATCTTTATGGTAGATATTTTGACTTACAGCATCTCTTTATTCTCATCAAATTGGTGATTATCTATGAATTTAGGCGTACATCCATTCTACATGATTCTGGAAAACGATGGAAAAGCACATGGTGTTTTCATACTCAACAGCAATGCACAGGTAGACTTCGGCAGCCAATGTAATGGAAACTGCAATTTTAAAATCGCCCCATATTTGTTAAGAAACCCGCAACATATATGTGGTCATCAAATATTTAAATTTTGCCTTTTTTAGGAGATCATCACAGCACCTGGGCCTACTTTGATTTACCGCACGATCGGTGGTAATTTGGACATGTACTTCTTCCCAGGTCCTACCCCAGAGGAAGTAACACAACAATACCTAGCCCTAATAGGTACCCCAACCTTACCAGCCTACTGGGGCTTTGGCTTCCAGGCAAGCATCGCATTTTTCTTACTCTCGAGGACTGACTATGTCCTTTTGCAGATCTCTCGATGGGGCTATAAAGACTTCGCTGATATGAAGAACATAGTTGAGAGTAACATCAAAGCTGGGGTACCTTTTGATACGGTTGTGGGAGACATCGATTACATGGACAGATACAAAGATTTCTCGCTTGGGAAGGTTTGGTACCGGAGTTAAAAATGTAATTTACTTCCCAGTATTGTTTAGGATTGGAAAGAGTTTCCTGCGTACGTTGACCAACTGCACAAACGTGGAATGCGCTTGGTGTTGATGTTTGATCCAGCAATTCAGGCTGATTACGAACCATTCGAAAGAGCGATGGCAGCAGTAAGATTTTTTTTGATCCAGTTCTTCTCAAGAGTTCGAATAATGTTTTCAGAAGGCAAAGTTCATAGAGTGGGAACGTCCTGACCAAGTGATGAGCTCGATCAATGTAAGAAAGCACGGGAGCACACTTTCCGGGAGCAAAGAATTCTTTTTAGAACTTGTATCCTATGGCGAAAGGAACGAAAATCATGCTCGGTGTCGTGTGGCCAGATAAGCACACTGCTTTCCCAGATTTCCTTGATCCAAGCGGTAACACTGCCAAATGGTGGATTGACGAACTGGTTAGATTCAAGCAGAGGGTAAGTAAATTTGCGAGAAAACTTACCGTGGGACTACCACTTTTCTCTAGGGTTAGAGTTTGTCGTGTTATACAGGCAAGTAGAACTTTCTGTAACTTTTTTCCTAAAAAAATTATTTCTTTAGTGTAAGAAGCTTAAAGGTACACTAGAAGCTTCATTGACATTTTTGAGTTTTAGAAAAAAATTTTGGGTGAATAAGGCTTTAGTTCTACTTATCAGCTGAGTGGAAAGATAGCATCATATTAGCGCAAATTATAACTATAAAATAGAAGCGTACTAGCACAGACTGCATGATTCTTAAATCCGTTTTTGAAGATCTCATATGATGGGATCTGGATCGATATGAACGAACCGGCAAACTTCGGAACCAATCAGAATTATCCATGGTACTTTGATGATGCCGATCATCCAAATATTGAATCTCTAAAGTGTCCAACGAACGAAGGCACCCAAGATGCACATTGGGACATGCCACCGTATAAGACACGCAATGTGTGGGTGTTCGGATGGGTGAGTATTCGTGTATTTACATCAGTATCTGAAAAGACGAGCAGGTAGTGTTCACTTTCGTGTTAAGGGCGGGTGTTAAAATGGTGCGAGCCATTGCCGTGCTAGCGCCGTGCCAAAACATCATTCGATAAGCACGGGGAGCTCTCACGTGGGTGGCGCGAAGCTGGAACGGCGACGGCACGGTGGTTGCACACGGGCAACTCTGGACTATACAAAGTGTCCCAAAAAGATGTTTAATCGTTAATAACTCTCTTGCTTTCATGTCTTTTGCCGAGTTTGAGGTACCATTCTGTAGAGCGAGGTTAAGCTTAGATTTATAGTATGGAGCGAATCACCAATCGCTCTCCATTAGTCTATGATTACGGTGTGAAATTTCAGCATACATCGTCACTGTGAATTGGGCCTTTTGATGAAGTAATTTCAAAAAATCCGAGAATTAGGCCCGTAGTAAACCCCCCATCCGGGCATCTCTCTCGACGCGGACTGCAGTTGAGGTCATCGCGCTTCAGTCCAGCATCCAGTGAGCTATTGATTTGGATGTGGATCGCTTCCTAGACATGATAACCGCATGTGTTCTCAAAAAACCAACCACTTGAGCTGGTCTGGTCAAACGGATAAGCGATTGGAATCACACGCGCGCGGTCGTGGTTCGACACCGGGTAGCGTCACAACTTTTGCTGCATCGCCGGACAATCTTTGATAGCGGCCACTGTCGAAAAAAATCGATGATGACCGCTAACAAGGATATCACTTAGCAAATGGACAAATAAAACAAAACTGACTTATTTTGACGGAGAATTCATGAAAAACTGAAATTTTTGGAACGTAAATAAAACGTAGTAAATAAGTAGATTCTCTTTTAAAGTAGTTTTTACAAGAAACTAAGATTGCTCTGCAAAAAAAAAGAAGAGAACTTTTATCCTTGCTTTTGTCGCCAAAATCAGCTGTTCATCGATCCTTCCCTTTTCGGGCGCCGGTATTGTGCACTTTTGCGCCGATTTTTTCTGCATTTTTTGGCAAAGTTGTGTGTATCGTAAGTTACTCAGGAGCAACTTATGTTAGATGCAGTCACCTCTTGTCTGCGTCTCCTCTTCTACACACTATTTGGATCACTCTAACATCCGTTCACGTTGAGGTGACTTGAACGTGAACTGATGTGGAAGAGTTGACTGCGGCAGGTGGACAGATGGTCAACTATCAGTTGACTTGACCATCTTATAGCATGGGAACGTGGACGGTGATCAGTTCACCTCACCTAAGGTGAACTGATGGGATAAGTTGAGTTCACCTCAACTGATCGAGCTTTACTACGGGTCTTAGTCTAGCAAGATTTTCAGGCGTGCTGATTTCGCTGCATAACTTTCCACCAGTTTTTTAGCTTTCTTGATGGCTTATTCACATTTTTGACGAACATTGGAAAAACAGTTGTTACCCTAATTCTGAAATAACTCATGAAAGAAGCCCGATACTGAAATGCAATTTTTGTATTTAGAATCAGCGACTTTAGTTAGGCCAGTACAAGAGTTTCTGGCTTGTTTGGCTTGCGTTCTAAGGCAAAAATCACTTTCGATGGCTTAAAATCCTTCTCGAAATTCCTACCGTAATCTTACAGTAACGAAAAGCGACTGATACTTTGCTCCATGCTATAAATCTAAGCTTATCCTCGCTCTACAAAATGGTACCTCAATCTTGGCAAAAGACATGAAAGCAAGAGAGTTATTAACGATCAAACAGTGTGCACATCTTTTTGGGACACTCTGTATATTGAAGTGTAATACAATATTTACATTTCCAGGACGCCCGTTTATCGACAAATACTATGTGCATGTCAGCCGTCCAGGCCAACGGAACTCTCCGTCACTACGACGTAAAGAATCTTTATGGCTGGAGTGAATCGAAAATAACACAGCTGGGACAATACAAAGCTGTAGGAAAGAGAGGAATTGTAATTTCGAGGTATGATATATCATACAATCTTCTCACAGATGAGACTCTCCAGAGGTTGCGCGTGCGCCAGTGCCGTGTCAGTGCCCGTATTGATCACGACCCTGGTACGGCGCTCGCACGGTTCTAGCACGTGCAGCGTTGAACGCAGCCTGAAGAGGGCGGTCATCAGGATCATGCGCGAAGTATTAGAGGAGTTTACTTGCATCTTTTAGATCTACATTCGCATCAAGTGGACGTTATTGCGGACACTGGCTTGGTGACAATACGGCAACATGGGACGATCTTAGAGCGGCTGTCATTGGTGCTCAGGAGTTCAATCTATTTGGTATACCGTACGTTTTAGCATTCCTCCTCTATACAGCCCAAAAATTTTTTAGATTGGAACGAAAATTTATTTAGATACATCGGCTCTGATATTTGCGGCTTCAACCGAGAAAGTGAGGAAGAATTATGTCTGAGATGGCATCAGATGGGAGCATTCCACACATTCATGAGGTCGCATATGATTTCTACAGCTATAGGTTCATTACTTGAATCACAATCTTTGCTTCAGGAACCATAATTCCCATTATCTCCCACCGCAGGACCCGGCACAATGGCAGTCTGTAGCAAAAGCAACCAGAAAAGCTACCTTATTCCGTTACAGTTATTTACCCTACTTATTCAGGTAACCCATAAACAGCCGAATAAGCTGATTTACTGTAAAAGGGTCTAGTTTATTTTCAGTCTGTACTTTGAAGTTTCGATGAATGGTGGAACCGTCATTCGACCGGTCTTCTATGAATTCCCAAAAGACATTAGAACTCATGTTTTAGATTACCAATTCCTCTGGGGCAGCTCTATGCTTATTGCGCCTGTTGTGTATAAGGTTAGCAAAAAAGAAAAATTATTCTCACTAGGAAAATACGCTCTCTTATTATTCAGGGTGCAAAGAGTGTGGAAGCATATCTGCCAGAAGAAGCTGAATGGTATTCCCTGTTTGACTATAAATATGGACAACTCTTGGAAAGCGGTGACCACACGTTCCCTGCTCCTTGGGAATCCCTGATACCAGTATTTGTCAGAGGTAAGAGAACGATTTGAAGTCGGATTTGACCAAACTAAAAAAAATAATCGCTTAATTGGTTTTTTATAGGTGGCTCAATATTGCCCCGCCAGCAACCAAATATCACTACAGATTATACGCGCAAGAACGCATTTGAACTGTTGATAGCTCCGTCGTCTAAAGGTATGTTGTGCTTTCCAATAATTAAATAACTAAATTAACTAACTAACTAATTCATAGCTGGAAGTAACAACTATAATCAAAGTAATTCTAAACATAATTACAGTCTAGTGGTGAGGCGAAAATCCCCCTCCCTCCCCCCTCCCTTCCAAACCTAGAATGGGCCCGCGAATTTTTTGGAAGTTACTTACATGAGCTATAAAATGTGCAGAGAATTGTTTATACTTGTAAACAATTGAAATTTTACTTTTCTAACATTCCATGTTAGTTTTATAAAAAAAAATGTTCGGGAGCGCGGCACCGATTTTTTAGAATTTCAGAATCACAGGTCCAAGAAAACTTCAGCAGCATCCCCAAAAAAAATTTCGGAGATTTTTTTACGACACGCACCTTTTGAAAAACTCTCCCCCCCCCCCCCCACACAGCGGAAATTCTAGGCCGCTGCTACAGATATAAGAACAACTGGACAGGCAAAACCTGTATTTTACATTTTTTCGTGTAGATGGTCACGCTTCTGGCTTCCTATTCTGGGACGACGGCGAAAGCATTGTTGAATCATTCATGAAACATCCATACTATCACTGGACATTCACGTATAGAGGTGCTGAAAGATCGGGAAGCTTATCTATAACAAGGAAAAGAGAGGCAGTGAGTTCAAAATTCATGAAATCAACTTCCTCTTTTTTATACCGATTTTGATTGTATTTAATTTCAGAGTGCTCTGAAAATTCCTACACTCGATACCGTGGAAATACTCGGCTACAAGGGTCATCCTGACTTCAATAGCTTCGAATTGAATGGAAGAAAGGTGCAAAGTTTTCTAATTCAGTCTCATTACACTGATTCAAAAGCGTATCAAAGACAATTCGGACAAATGTGGAAGTAAGGAGAAATTCAGAGAAACTGTAGAAAAGATTTTGCAGAACAAATGTTATAGGACGTGAGTGCAACTTTTTCAAGCATCTAATGTTATGCTGAAAAGCAAAAGCGTGGCACCTTTCGAACTGCAAGCCCTTTTTTTGGCTATTGATATTACTGCTAACTGCAGCCAAATTCTTCTCCCCCGTAAATGTTCGCCTAACCAATCTGACCTCAAGCAATTTTTAACTACCCAAACATCAAATTCTTTTTTCAAGCAAAATTTCAGATTGACATTGACAAGACAGTATCCCGGTACGACGAAAGCACGAAGATTCTCTATATCTCCAAGAAGAATCTCGTTGATATGACACGCTCGGAAGCAAAACTGACTTGGAAGAATAAGTTCTAAATCGCGCATTGAACTGCATGCCATGTTTTGAATTTGCATCTTTGCTGTGTTACAACATCAGTCACATCTTTGCTTCACGTATAAAGGTTCTATATTTTCAAGTGAACAAATACTGCTTTGTAGGTTTTTGTCATGTTTACATTCTCTGTTAGGGATAAGCCATGGATATCAACATCATGAGGGGCTAGAACGGTCAGAGGGAAAGGGTAGAAAGCGAATTTTTTTGCATCTGCCACCAAAGAGGGCATAAAGTAGTCTGGTACATGACTTGCTCCAGAAGCCTTGAAAATCTCTAACAAAATCTCGGATCGATCACGCTACTGGCCTATACTTTTTTCTATACTTGTTCATATATCGTGCATCCCCCAGAATTGTTCCCATATGAAAACGTGGCTGCCTTTCGATCGTCTAAACACGCTAACTTCCCGAAGTTGACATGTTAAAATGATTAAAAGGCACGTTGATGGCTCATATGTGAACGATTCTGGGATATGCCCATATTTAGCGTCGACTTGTTGACCGTACGGACTGCTCAGACGTTGGGGAGCACACGCGGCGAGGCTGAAATGTCGAGAGAACACGACTTGAAAAATGATTTGTACTGAGGCAGGAGTCACTCGCAGCGCATGCTCCGTGGTAATATGCGGTCCGAGCAAATAACTAATCGGTGATACGGAGTTTCCAGACCCATCTCAAAGTACTTTTGATGTGCCTCTGTACAACTGGAAATAATGGATGCTAAAACCGGCGATTATTGCCTGGTTAGCAATCAAAAAGCAAAGTTGAGGCTCGAGACAAAGAGGCATAGCAGAACCCCTACAAATATTGAAATATGCACAGGAGCAGTTTATTCAAATGCCAAGTAACAGCTCAAAGATCTGGAAACAACATTAGGAACTATTTCCTCGATATTCTCGATTTCCAGTTCAAACCGTGAGATCTGACAGGTACATACCTCAGCATAACATGTATGTAGTTGTAGGATGTTGTAGGATTCACGACGATAGCGTAAGATTCTGAAGGCATAGCCTCAGATAGAGACAATCATTGTTGGGAGCGAGGTTGGGGTCTACCTGTGACAAATGCGAAACAATAGCGAAGCGCGCGCCATGGAGTGTCAATCTCCGAGCGCGAACCATCTTCTTTTAAATATTAAGTTGAATTTCATCGCTTGGAAAGACTTTCACATTTTTTTCTTGAAGTATTAGTCATTTCCTGCTGAATATGTTCTTAGCGACAGAAATATCTTATATCGGTGATTGATCTATAAGATCATAATGATCATCAGTAATAATGATCATTTAGATTCTAATGAATGTATCAAGGAAGACAGCTGTGAGTAAGTATTGAGCTTGTCATATTGAATAGCTGTGAGTAAGTATTGAGCTTGTCATATTGAATCAGAATTAACTACAACATTTCACGCTCTGAGAGCATTTTTTATCAACGCTGCAACACCATTCCTGTCAATGTCATTGAAACTTGATTCTGTTTTTACGCGACTTTCATCGCATCTGCCAGTTTTTTCCGCATTCCTATTTCTTAAATTTTTATAAAGATCACTCGCAGATAACATAATCTTCTCTGGATTTAGGAGCTTGTAATGCGATGATTCTAAGTTTTCGTCAGTCGCCATGAATGATGTTTTTGCACTGATACCTCGAAAGGAGAGGATTAGTCTTCGATTATGGGTTTTCAAGGTTCGAGTGATTTTTGCATCAAGCGCTTTAGTTATTTCTACTTCGTTTAACCTACAGCATGTTGTTCATTGTAGTTCATTGATGTTGTGGACATAGAATCGTTTGGTGTATGTGTAGAAGGATATCGACCTAGTGATGAAACCGAGACGGTTTTACGAAATTGGCACTCAACCGCAATAGAGGTCTAGTTTTATGGCTACAATCTCCTTTTCGAAAACTCTTTGTTCAGAAGAGAATAACGTCGACTTTGCTGCATTCACATAGTGGATCCGTATATGAGCTACGTGGTTCGATAGATAGGGATCTTGCGTTTCAGTTCGGTGAGAATTCTTTGAGTATACCTTTATACATTGCGGTCCTGTTAATTTGTAGTTTGCCAAATCATTCCCGATGTGGTATTTACAGGTTACCCAGGCGAACTCATTGATATGTTTGCAAATGGATTTCCAGAGGACTGGAAAAGCACTTTAAAGGAGTACTTTTATGTAGTGTTCGTAACAATCTGTCTTCCTCCTCCCGAATACCTGTAATGTGCCTTTCATTCAGCAAAACTACGAATCCTTTGAACGCGTCGCATTACTTCAGCGTGATGGCCAGAAGAAGATCCTCTGGTCTTGTAAGATGTCAAAGCCGCTTGTCCACAGGCACTGTTTTCAACAAAGTATGTCATCTTCTGTTTGCTTCAAGAGTACATCTTGAATCGAAAGATCTAGAGCAATCGCCGTAGTGAACGGTTGTCAATCCTTCCTGCTCCGGGAGCCTTACCTGTGCCCATTGAAGAAGAAGATGAACAAAAAGAAAACAGCACTTCAAGGTCTTCGCTTTTGACTGCGGTACGTGACACATTATATTCCACACAAGCATTTTTTATATTTTTATAGAAAATCAGTTTCGAGGACGTTGGTAGTGTGTCAGTTCGACGTAGCCCTCGCATAATGGAGATATTATCACGGTCCTCTAAGAATGGGGTGCGTAATTCATGACAATTTTTTGTATCTCGTTGATGACGTAGAGCTTTAGGACACTAAAAGAAGTTTCATTGCTGATGTATCTGCCCGGCCTGCCTCTTCCTTGGAGATTGAGGTTGGTCAATTTTGTCTTGTTTTATATATGAATCACTTGAATTCACCTCCTAATGCTGTCCAGAATAAACCCTTGGCTGATGTTGGTTCGAAGTCCGATTCTTGTCTTCGCACGAGTGAGGTTGGAGATCTGCCTAATGATGTGGTAGAGTCTACTTTGTTATTTGTTGTTATTTCACTAAGATGATTTATTCTTTCCTCTTTGCAACAATTTGCTTCTTCAGGATTGTGGTTCTGATACCGAGGAATCCATTGTATTCGTTCCTGCTGTGCACAGCAACAAGCGCGACGTATGTTTATTCTATAATTTTTCATTTTTTTTTATTAGGAAGACATTAAGAGTATTGAAAATGTCCCACGCGTGGAATATCCTGACTCCATTGGTCCAGAAGAAAATGATCAGGACTTTTCTGTAGGAGTGAGTTTCTATATCTTTCCATTGTACAAGATCACATGGCCACTCATTTCCAGCCTGCGTTCGAAGAACCACATGTCAGCATAAGAGAGATAAATGCACAGGAGGAAAGGTTGTTGCGAAGAATTTCCAGATTATCTTTTTAGATAAAAAGCCAGTCTTAATTTTTCAGCAAGGTTCAGGACGATGACAATCATCTCGCTGTTGTACCAGTCTCTACAAATGTTTTTAAGGTTCCAAGTCGACGGCCTTCTAGAGGTTTCACTGCTCGTTCCAACGAGTTCAGTTGTTCATAGCTATTTTAGGAGAACACGACGATGCTACTGAACTTACTGATTGGTCTATCCGCTTTGCTCCGATAGGCTGTGACGGTCCCGAACTCAATTTCCCAAAATTTGTACTGCTTGGTAATAAGAGGTTTGTCAGCCCATATTTGAGTCACGTGATCAGTGAATTTTCTTCTGCAGAGGTCACTATGGTCAATGGCGTTCGTCAATCGTCACCCGAGTTGTAAGTGCAGAGATACTGTACACATCTTCAACAAAATATCGGCTTGTAGGAGAAATAAACATCACTGATTCCGCTAACGCAGGTGAACTTGAGCCAGCTCTTTGCTAAGATTTGATTTTCTTATTCAGGATTCCCCAAAACGTTTGTGGCCAGTTTTCTGCGTGGCTTTCCACCGAATTGGAGAACTCGGATAACGGATCTGTACAAGTAAGTTTGCTTAGTTATTTTCCACCGATAGTCGCAAATACTTACAATCTGACCTGTTCATAGTGAATTTTGTGGAACATTTTGACTTTCTTTTTTAGCTATTTCTTCGGCAACTTTCATGCCAGTACTAGTCAAGTACTAACTACCACTAATGAACCTATACTCCTCTTTTCTGATGAATCCCAAGAAGCTGTACGCAGTTTACATCAGGTATTACCACAAGAAATGTGTATCTAACTCAATTCCTCATTTGCTTTTCACTTTGCTTATTTTTGAGGAACATGAAACTATACCAAGTAGAAGGAAGTCGATTGTTGCTGATTACAACGAAAAATGGGGAAGAGATCAGCAAGGTTAGCTTATCCTTCATTTACCGTAAAACAACTGAGTTGTGGTAGCCATATTCACATTCGGGTAGGTGACTTCATCTCAGATTGAATGGAGTGTCTAACAGTGTAGTATTATTCGCTAACAAACCGGCAACCTTCAGATAAGCGAACGGAAGAAGTTAGTGGAAGTAGCAAATTAGCAGTTGTGTCCCCAGCTGTCCAATCGTCTTTGAGTTCAGGTACCTTCTAATTTTTTTTTTCATGCTGCGCATAGCACAAATTAGAGACATTAAGGAGTGCGAAGATCGCGGAGCGGACGATGCATACATCCGCCCCTCGCTCAGTGGGCTGGCGAACGTGTCCGTTACGATGGTTTGGGCAATGCAATAGGAGTAGAAGACGTGAAAACTATTACAGTGCATTCTAAAAGAACCAGTGGAACCGTAAGAGAGACCACATCATTTTATCCCTCGTTGACGTTGCTTTGTCCTGTACAGACAGCACTTGCCGACTACTATGGCTTATCTCCGGCCGATGCTTCTCTCAGACAATCGGAAGCGAGTACAGAACCTCCCAGACTAGCAGTAGATAGTGGACCGAAAAGAATAAGGACAAGGAGGATATTGGTACGTAAGATGATAACCTAGATGTTTGAATTCGCAGTCGCAATACATTATTTAGGCCTCTTCGGATGAGGAGAATGCTAGTCCTGATAAACGAAGCAGAAGTTCGGATGATGCTTATGTTCGCTACGATAATCGTCAAAAGCTATATCCTTACGAAGAAAATCGTGCTCGTGAGAACTATCGCAAACATCGTCACCGAGTCGGTTCATTTATTCCGCACTATGTTTCGCTTCGGTCGTTCCTGATCTTTGACTTCATCTTTTAGACCAGTTCGGACGAATCTGAGACCGAAAGGGAGCTAAGGTCTGAGCGCCACCTAATACTAAAACATACACGAGAGCTCCTGAAACAGCAAGAAAATCTACTCAAAATGGAACAGCGACTGGCTTCACAAGAACGAAAATGGTTGGAAAGAAAGAAGAGAAAGAGGCTGTTGAGAGAGCAAGAAGGGAAAGGGTTTTCTAGACAAGCGGAGACCTTTGATAGGCGGCCGGGCCATCGGTGTCGAGAAGGTACAAAAAAATTGAAATAGGGCAACTTATCATTTATTGTATCTTTAGAGTCTAGGCAAGTCGCACGACACATGCCCTCCAGCCATTATCAGGATAACCATCGGAGAAAGAAAGTGATGAATGCATTGGACAGAAGGCGACTAGAAGAGATTTGGGCTCAAGAAAACGAGGAGTTGACCACATCTTATTACTCTGATGGAGACGATGACTGGCAGGAACCAGGTGTGTTTTATTTAAATCCGAGTTTATCTATATCTCACGTGCACTGTTCATTTAGTGCGCAAAAGAAGAAAGAAAGTAAATCGAAGAGTCAGAGAAACAAGTTCGTCTGAGAGTATTCCGTCAGATGTGAGTTAGAGATATTTGAGTGTGCTGAATCCGTAGAACTTTCTTCATGGAGATTTTTCTGACTTTACTCAAAATTATCAGCTTAAATTAGGACGAAGACAGCGGTGATCAAATGAGGGGAAGAGCTTCTGAAGGAGAATTTCAGAAGAAAGATGAAGCCAGAAAGAAATGTTGGAATGCAGCGGAGGTGCAGAGGCTCAAGGTCAGTCTTTTCTCAGTTCATTCGACATTTGAGTCTTAGGCATGATCTCGCAATTTAAGCTAACCATTCATGCAATTCGACCGCAAAAAGACGATGACTGGGAGAAAGTTGCGCGTGCAATGGGTAACGAACGTGATCTGGAGTCATACAAGGAAGTAAGTGGGATTTTCATGAATATAACCTCTGATTTTGTTCGTTTAGGCAGCGATCAAACGCTTGAAGTGGAAGCCACCTCCCGCCGAGTCCGCCTCGCCGATCAAATCAGTGGAGCCGATAACTGCACGCGCTGGAACTATTGCTTTCCAGCATCAAACAAACGAATTTACGAGGTAGTAGGGGCAAAGTCACATAAGCATTTATTCGCTTCAACCACACTTTTTGAAAGCATCGTCCACCCAGATCCTCAGCTCCCAGGTTTTTGTCGTTTCGAGGCCTTCTCATATTCCTGATTCCGAATACCAAGTTGAAATTTGCAAAACCCCGACTGACCCCGTGCCGCAGAACCCGCAAAGCGAGTTCTTTGGAACTTTGATTGCTTGAGGGCACGCGGATGGGTGGGACAAACGTCACGCCCACAAATGGAGGAGGCACTGTGGCGAATCCGTCATCCGTAACGATTTTCGAAGCAATTTTCTCGCTTCGGAAGCAACTTTTGGCAGCGCGAGTCGGGCAAGTATACGGTTTGGCGTCAAAATCTCATCCAATCCATTTTGGGGCGGTGCCTTTGTTCGTGTTGCTTTTCTTCTGACCAAAAAGTATTCAGGTGGAGCAGTTGATACATGACTTCTTTCTAATACATTTTCTTTTTTATGTTATGGATCACTTCATGCATGATAGTAGGTTTCTAGGCATGTACTTTAGAAAAATAAAAGAAAGCAATTATATGCAGCGACTATATAGATACCTCTGTTAGATGCTAATATGCAAGCGCACTAGATAACCCGAATTCACGGCTTTTGAACTGTCTCTGCATTACCTAATGCTTACAAATTTCATATGAATAATAACATGTTTTCCGCTTCAATACTAAGCCTTGATGCTTCAGGAAGTATATGATGGGCGGAGGTGCACACAGCGAGGATTTCTTCCAAGACAATGATGCAACAGCGAACATTGTGAGACTTCCGCATTTTTGCACATTTTTTGTTTATCAGCTATCATTTCTCTGACTAGGAGACGCGAGCACGCTTTGCGTACATTTCATTAACAAGTTCACGAATGTGTTTTGACGCGCTTGGAATTCGTGGAAGAACATGTTTGAACTCGTTAAGCCACGCTGGCTTGATCACGTTCTTTCACGACTTCCTGATATTAAAGGCAGTGTCTCACCAAAATTTAGTTGCTAAGATTTTTGCATTTTGCAAGCCTGTCGGACCCTGTCTAGCACTGTATGGGCTTAGAATCGCACGAAGTTCCCAAAAACCCCGTTTTCTGGAGGCCCCGCGGACAATGGCCTATTTAGAGGTCCCTATAATAGAATATGTGAAGATCCGCGCGACCTAAACTTTGGTGAGACACTGCCTTTAAATAACCAAAACGCGTTAGAACTCATTCATTGACTTGTTGATCAAACGTACGCAAAGCGTGCTCGCGTCTCTTAGTCAGATGAATGGTATTGATTCAGAGCATCGGTGGGCTGCCTGATCTGAATGAATTCGGTGCGGATGATTCACTTCTGGAAGTGTTGAATACTCCCGCCAATGCAGTGCCGGAAAGAAAGGTAAAAGCTCTTTAGTGACAATTTTTTTCGAACGTCGTGGATCTATAGGTTTTAGGGAGCTAATCGTCGACAATTCTTGGCCGAGCCGATTGATGACGATACACCTATACGCAGACGAAGTAGCGCAGTATTCATGGGGACTCCACAAGATTCTGCCCAGCGGTAAGTCCATGATTGCATATGACACAGAGCAATGCATATTTTCAGGGAGAGACAAGATAGATACCTTCATCATCTTATAAACAAAGCAGGTCGCCGTGATGTGTCAAAGATGAACTTTTCAAGAGCAGGAAATTCCATACGTTTTGAAACGACAGGAGCAGTCATGGACTCTACCAAAGTAAGTATTTAGCTGATTAGGAGTTCTTGACAATGTTTCTGTTCCAGGCTCATGACTATGGAGGTTTGCAAAAGGATCTCAAATATGCAGCTAAGTTGACCAAGAAAGCAACCCGAAGAGATGCAGTTTTGGTGGAAAACTCTGACGAGGAACTGGAATTGGATGAAGAAGATTTGAGCATGGATGGAGTTGAAGATGATGGATTGCTATAAGCCAGATAATCATCTGTAATCTTTATGTCATCGTTTATTTCTCAACTAATTACTTCTAACTTTACTAAGCATGATAAATTACTCACATACAAGACGTGTATAGGAAGACAATTTGATACTTATTATTTGTACTTTGTATAAATGAGTCTCATGTGTTGTGAATTGTGACAGGAAGATAGTACGTCTTGTCAGGTACAACTCGAACGAAATTTGGCTGATATTAAAGGCAGCGTACACCCAAAATCTAAGTTGCCTAATTTTCTAGATTTTTCTACACCGTGTATATACCGGGCCCAGAAGAAGACCAACTGCGTTGGTCCGGTCTCCCAATGTTGCTTCTGAGCGGAGAAAACCCCCCTCAATTTCTTTCACGCCGCCCCTTTTCTTTCGCTCCGCCTCCTCCGGACGAATCCATAACAGCGTAAGCTGCAATTGCAGTTGCAGTTGCTGTTGCAACATCTGTTGCATTTGTTTTGGGTGTACGCTGCCTTTAAAGGCAGTGTCCGAGCAAAAAGTCGATTTCTAGAGAATCTACTTACCGGAGTTATCCGCAACGCTGAATCCGAAAATCCACACTAGAGGGCGCGAAATCGGCGAGAACATGAGTTTTCCAAAGCCCTACATTTTGAAATTCGACGGTCCCCGCAAAGGCTGAGACCCAGAGTCGCGACCCTACGAGACTTTGACGGCCGCATGCGTAATGCCGCACAGCAGCAAAGCGAACAAGTCGGAGGACCTCGCCCCAGGGCGTAAGTAGTACTCCACATCAGTTGACCCAAAAAATGAAAGTCGCGGATTTAGCTGAAACTTCGTCCAGAAGGGTTATTTTGCACGCTGATTACGAATATCACACTTGTTTCGCACCGTAGTGTCATCTGGTCGGTAGGATTACGGTGGGGCGTCAAAACCATGGATTTGCGCCAGACTTCGTCTAAGGTTGTTATTTGGCACGTTAGACATGAAAATCATAGTCATTTTACACGGTAGCGCCATTTTCTCGGGCTACGGTGATATACGGTGATGGCTAAAAATCCCGAATTTGCAAACTTTGCCTAGAGGGATTGCTATGCACGCTGATTACGAATAACCTTTTTGTGCTGAATCATGTATAGCGCGCTCATCTCGCAGGATAACTTTCTGTGGATTTTTGGGATCTAAATCTGGCTCAGAAACGAAAAATGTTCTTCCACGCACTATAGCTCTACAGTAGCCTTCGTTGTTCCAGCGAACGCGCTTGATATTTGCGATCAGCATGCCTACGAACCCCATAGGCAAAGTTTTGAGTAAATTAGATTGTTAGCCATTTGCCGTACACACACCGTAACCCGAAAAAATGGCGCTACCGTACGAAACGATTACGATATTCATGTGCGGCCTACCAAATAACTCCCTTAGGCCTCGGACAGAGTTCACGCGATTTGATCGTCGCGATTCAATCGCTACGAGACAACTGTCACGAGTTCAGCATGCCGATAGCTTGCATTTCAGTTGTGATACTTTTCCAGCTCGAAATCTTTAATGTGAGATGAAAATGAAGGAAATCGCGGCGACTGAATCGCGACGAGCAAATCGCGTGAACTCTTTCCAAGGCCTTAGACGGAGTTTGGGGTAAATCTGTGCTGGGGTTCAGTGGATTTTTGTTTTACCGTGCTTCTATTAGGCACGGTTGGATTAATTTCTTTATTTCGAGCCGGGTTCTCCGGCAAACTTGTACAAACACTTCAACGAACACTACGGAAAACGCCGGGTTCTCCGTCTTACAACTCAATCACAACTGACTCTCCAAAAGGGAGGAGCCAAAACTGTAAGTGTTCGGAAGGCTGCCAGCTGGCAGCTTCCTTTGTTGAATGCAATCGCAAACAAGACAAAAACACTGTTTTGCGAACGGGGTTTGCAGAATCGTACAAAACATCAGTACAAGATCATCGAACAACGATTACGGTAGCGTCGGCTACGACAAAATCCGTGATCTCGACCCCTACCGTAATCCTACCGTAACTCCGCCAGATTTCAGTACCGTGCGAAATAAGCGTGATATTTGTAATCAGCGTGCAAAATAACCGCTCTAGACGAAGTTTCAGCGAAATCCGCGTTTTTCATTTTTTGGGTCAACTAATGTGGAATAGAGCCGCGTAAGTTTCCCCACTCTTCGGTCGTTTTTCTTGCTTTAGGTCGAGCGTTATGACCTCGCACTTGCGCGATGTTGTATCTGACAATGAAGGCGGACTTTAGCATGGCACTGAAATCCCAAAACTCCCATCTTGCCCGGACACTGCCTTCAAAGAAGAGAGTTCCTTATTTGACCTGTTACACACAACGATCATATGAAGCCAAACAAAAGGATTCTATCTAATATATAAAGAATCGTTAAAGGCAGTGTCCGGGCAAAAACTCGACTTTGAGATTTTGTGCTTACCCGGGCCTATTCGCAACTCTGAATCCGGAAATCCAACTGGAAAGAGCGAAAACGGCGAAAAAAGGACTTTAGCGCAGGAAGGAGATAGCAAGTGGTCGGGGTCTTCCCCACTGTGAATTTACGCTCCCAGCTTCTGGAGCGGTCTTCTCGATTCCGCTAGCCGTTTTGACATCGCCATCGGCCAAGTGCGAACGATCGACCTGAAACCGGAAGCGAGAAGATCGCTGAAAGAGCTGGGAACTTGAACCCACAGTGGGGAGGACCCCGCCCACCTGCTAATTTCCCTCCACTGTTAGAGCCCTTTTTCGTCGTTTTCGCGCTCTCCAATGTAAATTTTCGGATTCAGCGTAGCGGAGAGGCCCCGGTAAGCACAAAATCTCAAAATCGAGTTTTTGCCCGGACACTGCCCACACACTCAGTTCAAAAATCTGCAATTAGCGGGGAACTGCGGTGCGATCCCGAAGCGCGCGTATACTGTCAGCACCTTCAATTACTGGTTCACTACTCATTTGTATAAAAATAAGCAACTGGACTTTCGTTGTCGGGCAAATTTTGTATCCTTGTATGGAAATGCATCGGGGAACATTAAATTCAGCACTTCATCGTACGCTCTCGTGTAACATCTATGTTTCACAAGGAAAAAATTCCAACATGACTCTATCGACGAAGGTTGGTTTAAGCTGTGAAGGCAGTGTCCGCGCAAGGTTGGGTGTTTCGAGAATCAAGTGCCATGCGGAAGTGGTCCCTCTCGGACATACATCGCTCAAGTGCGAGACAATACTGACCGGCAACAAGAGATATGGTCGGTAGGCGGGAAACTTACGCCCTAGGGGAAAGGCCCGCTCACCTGCGGATTTTCCTTTGCGGCAGAGTACGCATGTAGCACAGTAAATTTAAGGGTCCCACAGCGACTCTGGGTCTCAACTTTGGCGGGGCCGCCTGTCCAAGTTCAAATAGTAAGGCTTAGTAAACCCCTGTTTTTGCTTTTTCCGCGCTTGCTGACCTTTATCTTCGGATTCGGCGTTGCTGATAACCTTAAACTCGGTTCATACTGATTTGCAATGTCCGACACAGTTCCAGCACAACGAGAACTGTTCTGGGACTGTCCCGGAACTTGCTCAGTATGAACCCAGCCTAAGTCAAGCTTTTGCTAGAAATCGGTTTCTGCAAAGTACACTGGTTGAGACGTTTTGAAAAGAAACACTCGCAAATATATCGGTGCCACTTTGTTTATTCATTTACTACGTCAGTCTCGGCGATCTTAACCAGTTACTCTTCAAGAAGCTCCTCGTGAACTTCATGTAAGCACTCTGATAACTTCGAGCACAACACTGTGGAGACGGAACTGTGCTGATTGCTGGAGGTAGAGTATGATCAGCCGAAGCGTCGGTTCTATGGCTAGGTCCTGACACGAAGTTATACTTTATTGCTTTTTCGTCCGTGTGCGGTTCAAAACTCATTCACCTATAGATTGTGCTACAGCGATTATTGTAAAAGAGTAATTTTAGATCAGTGTAACTCTCAATGAGAGAATCATGCACAACGCCCTCTTTGGTGCCGGAGCGGTTAGTTTACTTTTAGAAATCCATGAATATTGTTATTGGTGTTGATGTTGTTTACTGATGTTCTCAAAACTTCCAAACGGTTCTATGTTGAGTAACTTATGAAATACAGCCTTTATCTCTGTTGAGGATTATTACTCTGGTTCATAGTAGGTTGTTTTAGAAAACTTCCGCGCTTTTCATAGGATCATACCGTCAGCGTAATGTCATGGTTCGTTTTATGGACAACTACGAGGTAACTTGCTTTCTCGTTTCTAATCTTTTATGTTGAAGTGGTGTGTTCAAAGTTTTCACAAATTCTATGATCATGAAAAAGCACAAATATCAGATTATCTCATGAAATTCTCTATCCTTTCTCTATAGCCTAGTGTTCATTACTTCTTTCTTCAAACGAATTGCGCTCAATAATTAACTCTCATTCTGTAGCATATGTGTTCATAACAGGCAAAAGAAAATAGCGAGCATATAATCAGATAATTTATCACTCTCATCTTGGAGGGAACAAAAGCAAACAATGTTTCGTACCAAACTGTGCTTTTAAGGAGTGCATCATCCATTTTAAATAATCTAGGGGAGCGGAAAACGCTTTGCACATATTGTTCAAACAAGCTTGATCCTGTTCTTTCTTGTTTCTGAGTATCAAACAAAACTAGATGGGAAAAATCACAAGTAGAAACTCGTTAAACGCTCAAAGTCCCTTACGAGATAAATGATGATAATCACATCTGCGCAAGTCCTCTAGCCTCCTAGTAAATGGATAAGAGTATTCTAAAATTGAGAGAGGTTCTGATGACAGGCATCTGAAAGAAATACATTACTTCTTGTATGCCCCCGAATGAAGTTGATCTATTTCAAGCATGTCTTGAACTTATCTACTACTCATTGTAATTATTGCTGCAGATTTGAAACGACAGTAGAAATCCTGGAATTCAGATCCGATATTATTGTTTTAGGGTGAAAGAAGAAAAAAGCGGGCATTGGCCCTCATTGGCAGCGCTTAATTAATTAGTTTTGGCAAGTTACTGGTGGTTTCTGGTAATTACGCAGAATGAACTCCAGTCGACCGGGCAGCCTATGAAGGGCCTCGGGAGGAGCGGCATCGTCTAAAGTTCAGCGAGAAATAAACGCGATCAATCTAGACTCGAAAGCAAGCGCCGCCGAGCGTTGACAACACGGCGCTCTATTAGTAGGCGCAGCTTATAGTGCGTCGTATATTGCGCGGCTCGTCATTGTTGCATAACACGCAAATAATGCAAAAAGTCCGCGTCAATGCGGACACTTGAATAGAGAATTACCGTGACGATTTAGAGACAAAACTGACCTGAAGCATTTGGTCCGTCATCAATAAATGACAGTTATGTTATTGTGCGGACAGCATTAGAAAACTTTTTTGAATTTCTGAGTGTCGTTCTCAGCCTGAGTCAGTGCGCAGACATTTGGTAATTGCATACTTACGACCTTTGGTTTCATGGTGAACAAAAATGAGAACTTTGGTCTGCTGTTCGTGCATTTGAGCAGCCAAAATTCTGAGAATTTCCAGTATAAATGGGAGTCAGTTTCAGGCAAAATCGCTTAGATTTGACCTTCTATGGTCGCTCAAATGGGTGGAAATTCGAATCTGTGTGGGTGCCAAATGTTTACAAAGTCCCACTTTATCCGCTTTGAAATGGAAAATCTAACTATTTCTATTAACATTTTGTCATCAAAAAAAATCTTTTATTGGAAGAACAAAGCTGATTTACGATTCTCCCTAATATATAAATTGATTTATAACATTTCTATCAGGTTGGCCCGGAAGTTCTGTTGTATCATTTTCAAAAATTTGTAACTCCGCCAAATTTCAACGGATTTGCTTGCTCGTAATTTTAGTAGAAAGAATGAGACTTTCGCTTTCAAATGCTGTTCCGTGGAGCTTCTGTTTCATACTGGGTGCGAGATAAAAATGGAAAAGTAAGACCATATAAGCTTTGACCATTTTAAGTTAGGTCACCAAAAATATGGAACGCTGCAAAAAAATCTGAAATCGTCAGTACATATGTTTTTTAGCCTACTTCTCGTAACTGTGGAGAGTTTGTGCTGTTTGGACGTCTCTATGAGAAGTTATGATTTTCGCGAAAATTGACAAATTAATTAATTCTGGCGTTTTCCATAGTAAACTCGATATTCATAACTTCTCACAGAGACGTCCAGACAGCACAAACTTTTCACAGATGCAAAGGGTAGGCCAAAAAACATATGTATTGACGATTTCAGATTTTTTTGCAGCGTTCTAGATTTTTGGTGACCTAACTTAAAATGGTCTAAGCTTATATGGTCTTACCCTTTCCATTTTTATCTCCACACCCAGTATGAAACAGAAGCTCCACAAAACTGCATTTGAAAGCGAAAGACTTATTCTTTCTACAAAAATTAGAAGCAAGCAAATCTGTCAAAATTTTTACAAATTTTTGAAAATGAAACGACAGAACTTTCGGGCCAACCTAATACAAACCGTTGAAAACGAGCGAAACTATTCTTTAGCCAACCTTAGCACTCTGTCGTTCCCAAATAGTGCGGAAGTGATCTAATACCATAGCTGTTGCAAAAAAAAATCGTATGATTACCTGATCTTTCTTCTCTCCCTATGTTCCGCTATTAAGAGAACTTTATAAAATTTTACCTTCTTGAGGGACGTCGTTGCTTCGCTCTCTACAGTGCAGAAGATTATGAAGAATCATTGGTGATTTCGTTTTCTCATATTCTCAGGATAGTGAGTTTTTCTCTATTTATAGCAAAATTATTTTTCAAAATTCTTCTATATTTTGGATTACTTCGCACCATGTGAGAGGGAGAGATAATCAATATCACGGCATCAGCATTGAACTCGACGCAGCGGCATCAATGAAACTGGCATTATTCTACACAGAAGCGGTTACTTTTTAATGATTTCTTTTTTCTTTGCCTTAATGAAATTCTCATTTAGGTCAGTAGTGAGCAGAAGACCATCATTTTCTACGATTTGACCCGATTCGATAGACCTAGAATGTAGGTATTGGTTCAGTTTTTGAACGCTGTCAAAAGCTGCGTCTTCAGTTGCCGCGTGCCAGCGCCGTGCCAGCGCTCGACCGGCTCGTATTGATCGATTGATGGCACTGGCACGGCGTTAGCTCCCTGGCAACTTTGGACGCACAAAACCACGGTTTTCAGGACCATAAATATGCTTTTCGTCAGCGACTACGTGGAATGCAGATGCTTCAGGGGGCTCAACTATTGGGTCCGTAGAGGAAACGAGGCCTGCATCGATCGTAATTCCACAAATGGGCTAGTCGTACTTCGTCAGTGCTTTGACATCATTTTTTCCAAAAACTGATATAGCAAGATTATAGAAGAGTTACCGTATTCCTTATGGTTGTCATATCTCAATAGCTATGGCATTCTTACATCAAAAGGTAACTTCTGGATATCTGCAACCGATCAGCTGTCAAATGGTATGATTTGGCCATACCTACAAATTTTGTTTGGGATCATTTTTTTCAGATGTCAAACCGAATATGAGTGAAAACGTTATGAGATTTGCCGACAGTACTAAAAGGTAACTGTTAAATTTAGGAGAACTTGACAATAGCTTCAACTGACTTTTCCAAGTAATGAATTCTTTTCAGAAAATCTCGTTCAAGTTGCCTTTACCAGGTAAGAACTTGCCGTCTCCTGAAATCCATTGTCTAAATCTTCTAACAACCATTTTCAATTTTTCAACATTTGTTAAGGAAGTTTTTGGATCATCCAATGTCAGGGCAGTTGTTCATAGACCAGAAAATGTAAAACTGGTCGAAGTGAAGCAAGAAAACGTTGAAATAAAACAGGAGAAAACGGCTTAGGCTTTGAGCCCAGAAAACCACCCTAATTTCACGCGTACAAGGCGATTTTTCGACTTTTCAAGGAGCCTTATGCCACACGATTCTCTTGGGCAATCCGGCGCCTGGTATAGGGTCCTTGCTCGCGAAGTCTTTCGGCGTGTTTGGGGTGGTCGATTTTGGAAGAAAATTCCCCGCGCTCTGTACGCGTGAAATTAGGACAAATGCGAGTTCGTATTATCTTCTGTATCATATCCTCCAGTAATCAACTATGCCACTCATATCTATTTTGCCTAATATCTAGTTTTTTGTTCGTTTTGCATTTTTTGAAAACCTCCAATCCTTGATATTGTTGTTATCTCAAGTATCTACCTCATTTCTAAATACTTAAAGTACGCGAAGTTGAATCCGAAGTAACAGTTGCCTTGTAAATTTAGTGCATTTGTTGCATTTGTATAGCGAAGTGAAGTACGAGATTTTAGAGTGATTTTCTTCATTCAGTGCTGTCCTTTTTTTGGAGGATCCTTACCTCAAGGACTGAATTTATGCAGATGCATCATATGCACGAGAAACTGTCGAGTATTACTTGCTCAAATTATTTGATGACTTTCTCAGAGGAGTAGCCGGAATTTCCGCTGGACGTTCAGGGAACGAGCCTCCTGCAGGCCTACGTGCGTTCTCTAGATTTTTCGTTTTTGGTTAGTGTGGCATCACATTCCTGCGGAAGTTTCCATTTTCTGGGCTTAAGCTTCGTAAAATCCTGCGAAACTGCTTCGAGTATATCTTGTCCAGTGGAAGTTCCCCTGTGTTGTTGTTGTTAGCTTAGTATTCACATTTAGATGTTGATAGAATTTATAATTTCACATGAACTGTTGATAGAATATATAATCTCACATGAACTGAGCAATCTGTGAATAAATAGTAAAGTAAGAACTTTCCTCATTATCATCGGAAATGTTGAGACTTGCTTTACCCGGATGATTCAAGGTTTTACTCCAGAGACCTTTACTTGCAACATTCTTCAGCTGTTTCTAGCGCGTAGCATTCAAAAAGTGCCAGAAATTCTTGAACTGGGCTAGTCCTATGTGTGTGTGTACGTCCGGCATTCTTGCAAAGTAGCGTTTCGAGTTTGCTTATCAAAAACAGTGTTTGGCAGCGTTTCTTTGCTCGTAAACATCATTTCGGGCATAGTTTCATAGCTGTGTCAGGTGTGTAGTGGTGCTGAGCGCTAATATGATAGTAAAGCAGCTATTTATAGAATACGCCTCGCAAATAAGTGAACTGTGAAGCCTATCACTGAGAAACTTGCAAAACATGTTGATAGGAGCCGAAGAACATGACGCTGGAAGACCTTGAACTCGAATAAAATGCGCTTGTGGCATTATAAACTTCCAAAAAAGGAAAACGAGAATGTGCCAAAAATTGCATCAATATCACGATCAGCTGATTTGCCAGATTTGTTTATATAGTTGAGATTGTCGGAGTTCGTCACATCAAAAATCAGAGAAGTATCAACGGGTTACGATGAAGCTTGCTATTTTGCTTTTTGATCTATGTGAAAAGCCGATGTTTGTCCATTCTCTCTCCTAGAATGACATCATCTCAGTGATCATTTTTAAACCATGATTAAGCATATGCCTCGAATTTTCAATAGAAAAGAAACATCAATTCTCACATCTGATTATTTACCAAAAGAGGACGGGCACATACGTCAGAAACAGATTTCAAACCACTGTCTAATTTTGCTTCCTTGTAGTGTTCGTTCTTATTCTATTGCGTGTTTCCTCTTAAACTCAAAATATCTGCTGCACGAAACAAATACGAGAATAATTTAGTGAATGACGAAGGAAAATATAATCCCTCTGCGCTGACTGAAAATAGTACAGATGACGTTGACATCCTTTTTCTGTATTTTTAGCCCATGAACCGGGGGAGGCGCTAAAAGTATGTTTCATATTGCAATCATATGAATGGCAAGAAGTACATGTTCACAAAAAACAAAAGCCTCATGAAAGCAGTGGTTCAATGCTCAGAGCCCCTGAAGCAATTTATCCGGTCATTGCGACGTAGAGGTGCACACAATGAGTTTCTAATTTTAGATTTTTGCGTTGAAAGTTGAAAATGGTGATGATTGTATGATGGCGCGTTGAAGTGCATGAAACAAAAAACAAAACAAAATTAGCTTTTGGCAAGTATCAAATCTTGTAAGCTTGAATAGTTTGAAAGAACCACAATGAAGTACGCGGCAAGATAAAGCTTGTATGCAACAAATCTGTATCTCAAGCACGTTTCATAAATCAGCAGGCGAAATATGATTTCAGATTTTCCACCGAATCAATTGCAATGCAAACTTCAGTACCTCTCTCAACTAGTGGAATGGAATAGTTTTTAGCATCAATTGCTACCATGCAAGAGAGCTAGATCTTTGCTTAGATAGGGACTTGAATAAGTACACCCCCTTTTAAACTGGCTACTATTCCGATTTCACGAAGGTTGAGCATATCACATATGCATCATTGAAGGCAGCGTCCAGGCAGATCTGGACCTATGGGGATTTTACATGGAAAGTTCTTTTTGGGCCCTAACTAAGGCACTGCCCAAGCGGCAGCGCAGGTAGTGCTCTAACGGCTGAGATATTTCCTCGAAACTGGACCCCGCGATCGTATTCGCATGGATTCATGGCAGTTTCGCGCCAGGATCCATGCTTTGCGCCATGAATCCATGCGAAACACGATCGTGGGGTCCACTTAGAGCACCACCTGAGCTGCCGGTTGGGCAGTGGCTCAGTGAGGGCCCCAAAATTACTATCCACGTGGGATCCCCATGTGTCCACACTTGCCTGGACGCTGCCTTTAACGTTTGCGCAAGACTTTGACTCTTCAAAATTTGGGTGGGTGCTGGTAATTTTTGTGGAACTCTCCAGATGTCAGCTGTACAGTGGAAACAGCTGTTTTACATGATGGCTTCTATGTTTATTGAAGTCGATGAAGATTTCTGGATAAGGCAAATCACACCCCTGAAATAAGACTGAGTTGTAACTACTGCGATCTGGATTCGCCAAATTCTTTACTTCTGAAATTTCACTCCAGCGCCTGTATAATACAGGGTGTCCCAAAAGTGAGTACACACTTTCCAATCATCAATATCTCTCTTCCCAATGGGCCTTTTTTGTCAGTCAAGTACCATTCTGTAGAGGAGGCTTCAACTTAGATTTACTATATGCGCGAATCGCCGATCCTTCATTACTGTAGGATTACGGTAAGAACTTTCAGCACGTGGAATATTAAGAAGTATGCCATCTGACGAAATTTTTTTTCAGAAAATCTAAAAAAATGTGTACTACGGTTTTCGCGCACGCTGATTCCACTACACAACTTTTTAAGAGTGTTTTCAGCTTTTTTGATGGTGCAATCAAATCTATGACAAATACTGGGAATTCGGTTATTACGGTTAACCTGGGATAACTTTGGAAAGAAGCAACACAGTAGGAAATTTCGTATTCAAAATCAGCGGCTTCCGCAACCATAGGACAAGGGTTTTTGGCTTGTTTGGTTATGTTCCAAGGCAGAATATGGCTTCCAATGGCCTAAAACTTGTCGAAGTCCCTACAGTAATCCTACAGTAATGAAGAGGGATCGGCGATTCGCTCGATACTTAAAATCTAAGTTGAAGCCTCCTCTACAGAATGGCACTTAGAAGGCGGAAAAATACGCAATGGGAAGAAACATAATAACGATTGAAAAGTGTGTACTTACTTTTGGGACACTCTGTATAATCTCAGAAAAAATTTCTTGTCGAAAGCATGAAACACCAAGCAAATCTTGGATTGTTGGTTGTGAGTCAGAAACCTTGTAGGTTTTTTTCAAACCTGTAAGTCCCATAGCCGTAATTAGTTTCCGATGAGTCAAATAATTATAATATCCATTAGTCTAATGGCCTTCCGTCTGTCTGTGAAGAAGTCAGTGCTGCCGCATGACTCACAATCAGCTGCATACGTTGCGCTTTGTCAGTGCAATTATTTTCATAGGGGGTGGATGACAAAGTGTCTGTAGAGTGCCAAGTACCTGTAAATATACGAGCGTCATTTGGCAGAAAAGAATTATCCACCTGCACCCACGTACTCCCACCAACATTCCTCAACTCATGTTCTGGTCACAAAACGACAAGCGGTGCTCGTATTTCTGGATACTTGCGACATCTGTTGCGATATATCCGAGCTGGAATGTAGAGGAATTTTTAAATTTAGCACCGGGGGCTAAGCGTTGTGTCAAAACAGAGCGGGGGTGCGACATGAGTTCGAAAATAGGTTTTGAGCTCCTTGGTCTGCACTCAGCTGTTCTTACGTAAGTCGCAACTTGATAGTGGAGCATATAGTATTCCAGCAGTACTAGTCTGACGCAATGACCTCGGGCTGTGATCATTATGAGACGGGTGTGGGCGTTCTTGCTTTGAACTAAAAAAATCAAAATCAGTATTTTTATCTTGATAGAAACTGGTCGTGCTGGCCCGGAGACGAAATGCCAGGGTACCATGAAGTAAGATTTCTGTGACCAAGACGAAGAACAAATTGTAGAGGGAAGATATTCGAGCTACGTACCCCTTTAAAATGAATAAAGCAGCGTTCTTGATCAAAATAACCAGAGTTTAGAATGGTGTGCTGTACGATTTACATAGCAATGGAAGAGCTGAGAGGGGAGTTCAAGAAGGGTCACAAAATTTCTGAAAGTAATTTACATTATTAAAACTGTGCAATTCTCTTGTTTCTGCCTGTAAGTAACTAGAATTTTTGCATTTCATCAGAATTCATATGACTTTGTAAATTTTTTTTGCGATTATGGATCTTCAAAAACCATGGAAAGCATGCCTGAATTTTTGCTGAGGTATTATGTGTATTTTTAATTGTGTCAACAGTCAATTTCATGTGCGGGATATCAAGAATGTGCTCTTAGGCTTTCTGTGAATGATGTCTGCCCCATGCAGAATAAGTGGATTTCAAGAGCTTGTTGTTTGCACATCTGTCTGGAAGTTTCTTCAAAATCAATCTGTTTGCTATGCTACGTAAAAGACAGAGTTTGGAGCAACGTCATTAGTCTTG